GAGAAAAGTCAATTTTTGACCAAATTTCACTAAAAAAGTAAGGCTAAACCCTTGCATTTTTAAAATTTTGGCCAAAAAATAAAATTGCTTCAAACTTGCAGGAAAGATGCCTAATGGACCTTAGAATGCATTCCAATGCGATTTCTGGATGGATGGACACTTCAAAGGAATTTCTGTATCGTTTCGAGAAAAGTAAATTTTAACCAAATTTTACTAAAACATTAAGGCTAACCCCTTGCATTTTTTTCAATTTTTGCCAAAAAATAAAATTGCTTCAAACTTGCAGGAAAGATGCCTAATGGACCTAAGAACGCATTCCAATTTGATTTCTGGATGGATGGACACTTCCAAGGAATTTCTGTATTGTTTCGAGAAAAGTTATTTTTTGTCCAAATTTCAATAAAAAAGTAAGGCTAACCCCTTGAATTTTTTTAATTTTGGCCAAAAAATAAAATTGCTTCAAACTTGCAGGAAAGATGCCTAATGGACCTTAGAACGCATTCCAATTCGATTTCTGGATGGATGGACACTTCAAAGGAATTTCTGTATTGTTTGGAGAAAAGTCAATTTTTGACCAAATTTCACTAAAAAAGTAAGGCTAACCCCTTGCATTTTTTTAATTTTGGCCAAAAAATAAAATTGCTTCAAACTTGCAGGAAAGATGCCTAATGGACCTTAGAACGCATTCCAATTCGATTTCTGGATGGATGGACACTTCAAAGGAATTTCTGTATTGTTTGGAGAAAAGTCAATTTTTGACCAAATTCACTAAAAAAGTCAGGCTAACCCCTTGCATTTTTTTGAATTTTGGCCAAAAAATAAAATTGCTTCAAACTTGCAGGAAAGATGCCTAATGGACCTTAGAACGCATTCCAATTCGATTGCTGGATGGATGGACACTTCAAAGGAATTTCTGTATTGTCTCGAGAAAAGTTAATTTTTGTCCAAATTTCACTAAAAAAGTAAGGCTAACCCCTTGCATTTTTTTTAATTTTGGCCAAAAAATAAAATTGCTTCAAACTTGCAGGAAAGATGCCTAATGGACCTTAGAACGCATTCCAATTCGATTGCTGGATGGATGGACACTTCAAAGGAATTTCTGTATTGTTTCGAGAAAAGTCAATTTTTGACGAAATTTCACTAAAAAAGTAAGGCTAACCCCTTGCATTTTTTAAATTTTGGCCAAAAAATAAAATTGCTTCAAACTTGCAGGAAAGATGCCTAATGGACCTTAGAACGCATTCCAATTCGATTTCTGGATGAAAGGACACTCTAAAGGAATTTCTGTATTGTTTCGAGAAAAGTCAATTTTTGACCAAATTTCACTAAAAAAGTAAGGCTAACCCCTTGCATTTTTTAAATTTTGGCCAAAAAATAAAATTGCTTCAAACTTGCAGGAAAGATGCCTAATGGACCTTAGAACGCATTCCAATTCGATTTCTGTATTGTTTCGAGAAAAGTCAATTTTTGACCAAATTTCACTATAAAAGTAAGGCTAACCCCTTGCATTTTTTGAATTTTTGCCAAAAAATAAAATTGCTTCAAACTTGCAGGAAAGATGCCTAATGGACCTTAGAACGCATTCCAATTTGATTGCTGGATGGATGGACACTTCAAAGGAATTTCTGTATTGTCTCGAGAAAAGTTAATTTTTGTCCAAATTTCACTAAAAAAGTAAGGCTAACCCCTTGCATTTTTTTAATTTTGGCCAAAAAATAAAATTGCTTCAAACTTGCAGGAAAGATGCCTAATGAACCTTAGAACACATTCAAATGCGATTTCTGGATGAATGGACACTCTAAAGGAATTTCTGTATTGTTTCGAGAAAAGTCAATTTTTGACCAAATTTCACTAAAAAAGTAAGGCTAACCCCTTGCATTTTTTTAATTTTGGCCAAAAAATAAAATTGCTTCAAACTTGCAGGAAAGATGCCTAATGAACCATAGAACACATTCAAATGCGATTTCTGGATGAATGGACACTCTAAAGGAATTTCTGTATTGTTTCGAGAAAAGTCAATTTTTGACCAAATTTCACTAAAAAAGTAAGGCTAACCCCTTGCATTTTTTTAATTTTGGCCAAAAAATAAAATTGCTTCAAACTTGCAGGAAAGATGCCTAATGGACCTTAGAACGCATTCAAATTCGATTTCTGGATGGATGGACACTTCAAAGGAATTTCTGTATTGTTTCGAGAAAAGTCAATTTTTGACCAAATTTCACTAAAAAAGTAAGGCTAACCCCTTGCATTTTTTTGAATTTTGGCCAAAAAATAAAATTGCTTCAAACTTGCAGGAAAGATGCCTAATGGACCTTAGAACGCATTCCAATTTGATTGCTGGATGGATGGACACTTCAAAGGAATTTCTGTATTGTCTCGAGAAAAGTTAATTTTTGTCCAAATTTCACTAAAAAAGTAAGGCTAACCCCTTGCATTTTTTTAATTTTGGCCAAAAAATAAAATTGCTTCAAACTTGCAGGAAAGATGCCTAATGGACCTTAGAACGCATTCCAATTCGATTGCTGGATGGATGGACACTTCAAAGGAATTTCTGTATTGTTTCGAGAAAAGTCAATTTTTGACGAAATTTCACTAAAAAAGTAAGGCTAACCCCTTGCATTTTTAAAATTTTGGTTAAAAAATAAAATTGCTTCAAACTTGCAGGAAAGATGCCTAATGGAGCTTAGAACGCATTCCAATTCGATTTCTGGATGAATGGACACTCTAAAGGAATTTCTGTATTGTTTGGAGAAAAGTCAATTTTTGACCAAATTCACTAAAAAAGTCAGGCTAACCCCTTGCATTTTTTTGAATTTTTGCCAAAAAATAAAATTGCTTCAAACTTGCAGGAAAGATGCCTAATGGACCTTAGAACGCATTCCAATTTGATTGCTGGATGGATGGACACTTCAAAGGAATTTCTGTATTGTCTCGAGAAAAGTTAATTTTTGTCCAAATTTCACTAAAAAAGTAAGGCTAACCCCTTGCATTTTTTTAATTTTGGCCAAAAAATAAAATTGCTTCAAACTTGCAGGAAAGATGCCTAATGGACCTTAGAACGCATTCCAATTCGATTGCTGGATGGATGGACACTTCAAAGGAATTTCTGTATTGTTTCGAGAAAAGTCAATTTTTGACGAAATTTCACTAAAAAAGTAAGGCTAACCCCTTGCATTTTTTTAATTTTGGCCAAAAAATAAAATTGCTTCAAACTTGCAGGAAAGATGCCTAATGGACCTTAGAACGCATTCCAATTCGATTTCTGGATGAAAGGACACTCTAAAGGAATTTCTGTATTGTTTCGAGAAAAGTCAATTTTTGACCAAATTTCACTAAAAAAGTAAGGCTAACCCCTTGCATTTTTTAAATTTTGGCCAAAAAATAAAATTGCTTCAAACTTGCAGGAAAGATGCCTAATGGACCTTAGAACGCATTCCAATTCGATTTCTGTATTGTTTTGAGAAAAGTCAATTTTTGACCAAATTTCACTAAAAAAGTAAGGCTAACCCCTTGCATTTTTTTTTTTGGCCAAAAAATAAAATTGCTTCAAACTTGCAGGAAAGATGCCTAATGGACCTTAGAACACATTCAAATGCGATTTCTGGATGAATGGACACTCTAAAGGAATTTCTGTATTGTTTCGAGAAAAGTCAATTTTTGACCAAATTTCACTAAAAAAGTAAGGCTAACCCCTTGCATTTTTTAAATTTTGGCCAAAAAATAAAATTGCTTCAAACTTGCAGGAAAGATGCCTAATGAACCTTAGAACACATTCAAATGCGATTTCTGGATGAATGGACACTCTAAAGGAATTTCTGTATTGTTTCGAGAAAAGTCAATTTTTGACCAAATTTCACTAAAAAAGTAAGGCTAACCCCTTGCATTTTTTAAATTTTGGCCAAATAATAAAATTGCTTCAAACTTGCAGGAAAGATGCCTAATGGACCTTAGAACGCATTCCAATTCGATTTCTGGATGGATGGACACTTCAAAGGAATTTCTGTATTGTTTCGAGAAAAGTCAATTTTTGACCAAATTTCACTAAAAAAGTAAGGCTAACCCCTTGCATTTTTTTGAATTTTGGCCAAAAAATAAAATTGCTTCAAACTTGCAGGAAAGATGCCTAATGGACCTTAGAATGCATTCCAATTCGATTGCTGGATGGATGGACACTTCAAAGGAATTTCTGTATTGTCTCGAAAAAAGTTAATTTTTGTCCAAATTTCACTAAAAAAGTAAGGCTAACCCCTTGCATTTTTTTCAAATTTTGGCCAAATATAAAATTGATTCAAACTTCTAGGAAAGATGCCTAATGGACCTTAGAACACATTCCAATGCGATTTCTGGATGAATGGACACTCTAAAGGAATTTCTGTATTGTTTTGAGAAAAGTCCCATTTTTTACCAAATTTCACTAGAAAAGTGAGGCTAACCCCTTGCATTTTTTTCAAATTTTTGCCAAAATCTAAAATTACTTCAAACTTGCAGGAAAGATGCCTAATGGACCTTAGAACGCATTCCAATTCGATTGCTGGATGGATGGACACTTCAAAGGAATTTCTGTATTGTTTCGTGAAAAGTAAATTTTTGACCAAATTTCACTAAAAAAGTAAGGCTAACCCCTTGCATTTTTTTCAATTTTGGCCATAAAATAAATTTGCTTCAAACTTCTAGGAAAGATGCCTAATGGACCTTAGAACACATTCCAATGCGATTTCTGGATGAATGGACCCTCTAAAGGAATTTCTGTATTGTTTTGAGAAAAGTCCCATTTTTTACCGAATTTCAATAAAAAAAATTAGGCTAACCCCTTGCATTTTTAAAATTTGGCCAAAAAATTAAATTGCTTCAAACTTCTTGAAAAGATTCCTAATGGACCTTAGAACGCATTCCAAATCGATTTCTGGATGGATGGACACTTCAAAGGAATTTCTGTATTGTTTCCAGAAAGGTGATTTTGACCAAATTTGATTAAAAAGGTAAGGCGAAAGCTCTTGCATTTTTTTTTTAAATTTTGGCCAAAAAAGTGCCTAATAAATCGGACCCTAGAACACATTCCAATTCGATTTCATTGAATGGAGCACAGTCTTGTACTAAAACCATTACATTGAAGGGACCCTCACCTTGAGTTTGTATATGGAATATTTGTGTACTGTATCATATCTGACAAAATTCACCAAAAGCCACCAAAACCAGGTTGTGGATTTTGATGTGTTTGGGATTGTTAGGGTTATAAGCTTTATACATGACATACTTGAATTCACAAAAACAATGAGGAATTGAAACCCGGTGTTGTGCTCCTTGCTGAGTCGCCGATGTCATCATACGAAGGTCAGATCACACATCCAGTACAGGTCAGCCTGCAGACAAACGCCCAAGGACTTGCAGGGCAGGTGATCCGAAAAACAGGCTGAAACAAATTGGGAGAATTTTATTTTGAGTTTTCTGGCTAGTAAAACAATCCTTGTGTCAAATTGACGGGAAACACAAATAATAAATGGCTACGTGTCTTCATTCAGCCAATAGCAAAATCCATTCATGTTGTTCGAAATGTGCTCACGAAATACGAACACTTGTTGCACACTATGTGTTGTCAGCGTGATATAGACTTGTTTTGTTTGAGTGGTGTGTGAGATTCGAATGTTCAAAAGCTGGTTTGGGGCTAATTATAAACTGATGGATTATAGGGAGTCAGTTTTGCATCTTGTTTTCACTTGCAAAATGTAAGTTTCTATTTTTAAGAAGAAAATGAGAAATGGAGACCATTGTGTCAACATTTGCTTAGCTAGAAATCATTTGTTGTGTGAGGCCTACATGCTCTGCAATACTCACTGCAATTTGCTTCGTCTTTGAAGTTCCCACAGTCATCCACTGCGTCGCACATCAGGTTTTTGGGGACACAGCGGGAGTTTCCACAATCCATCTGATCATCATTGCAAACTGTGAGAAATATGTTATCCAAAGTCAATACAAGGTTGCAGAATCGAAAAACTTTGAACAAGTGTGGTACAGGGTGAGTCAAAAAGAAAATATCCCAGTGAGAAAAAATATATTCAAAGTGGCTTGCTCCATTTAACCAAAATAACATAGGAATGGAGTACATATGAATGACTTGTAAATTGTGAATATTTCATGCAATCTCTATTTAAACAATACCACAACATTCTGCTGTCCTTAAAAGCCTTTGAATACAACAATGCCTATACAATTTCGAGTTTGGTAGTCGTGAAAATGAAAGATGTCAACTGTTTTTCCTTACAAAGATCTTTATTCAACCATTTTTTGTAATATTTCTTTAACATATGTGAAGTAGACATATCAAAGATTACACATATCAATAAATCTGAAAATTCAGATAAACAAATCCCCCCCAATTGGTTTGCATTTGTCTCTAGTATGACCTGTGCTTAGTTCTGTCTCATTTTGCCAGACTGCCTCACATATCCCTGCAAAGGTAGAGGAAAGAGAAGTAAAATAATGACTCACTGCAGTTGAGTTCATCACTAGCATCTAAGCAGTCATCAAAACCATCACACCTCCAGAAGGCAGGCACACAGATGGAGTTATCGCAACGGAACTCGGTTGGGCTACACTCTGTGGGCAGTCAAGCACAAAAGTGAAGGCTGGACTTGATTGTAAATTAAAATTGAGTGTAATGCTCTTTGAAATGCAAAGGAAACTTTACCAGTAAAAGATATCCCCGCACTCACTTGGGATTCAGTCACATTTGGGAAACATAAGGATACTGGAGAACAAAACATATAGAAACTATTTCCTGTGAAAATGTTTGTACTTTGTGGACTGGATTCTTACCACAATTTGTCTCATCTCTCCATGTATAGCAATCAATTTCACCATCGCACACCATCTGTTGGGAAATCTGTCTGCCATCACCACAGGGAAAGTAACCTGAATGTATTAACAATGACACATGTCAATCACATGTCACATGTCAATCACATGTCACATGTCAATCACATGTCATGCATGTGATTCAGGGTCATCAACTTGAGATGTAAAACACATGTATTTCAGAAGTTAATCACAAGTCAAATTACAAGTCGAGTCATGTCATCACTGGTTCTCCAACTGAAATGTTATTTGGAAAACCAAAATTACGCGACAGTAATGTAAAATGTGTGCCCATGATGCGCACCAAAGTGCACTTAGAGTGTCAGGTGTCAGTGACGATCGATACCAATCACAAGTCAAATCACAAATCAATCACAAGTTAAGACTTACTGCAGTTGCGCTCATCACTGCCATCTCCGCAATCATCCCTATTGTTGCAGCGGTAGTAAAACTCCATTTTACACAAACCGTTGTCACAACGAAACTGGGTCTCGGAACACTCTTTAAAAAGAAGAAAAAGAGAGAACATAAAATACACCTAGGGACTCAAATGAGGAAAAAGTACAAACGTTTCATGTGACACATAACTATAAATCTAAAGAATTAAGGAATAAAAGTGACTGGTAGCTGGAGTAGTTCAAGGTAATAAATATGTGCTTGGCCAGTTTTAAGCAAGCTTGTTTAAAATCGTTTATGGGGGCTGGACGTGGATATTGGCCCATATGTTTGGTCAGCAGTTTTACTTTGTGTTTTTTAAACATCCCTCTCACCAAAGCTATGGTATGTGCCTCAGTCACACGGGTAAATATCTCCTTTTATGGAGAATGGTGCGCGTGAATGATGTGGCGAAAAATGAAGCGGTGCTTTATCAGCAGTTTAAAACCACCCATGTGATGGCTCTTGGCAAATAGGAATGGGTAAATTGTTTAAGGTTTTTATAAATTTCTGGTTTAAAAAGGTTATAGGGATTAGTCGTGGACTATATAGCCTGAGTCAATTAAAGGCACAAATAATCTTTTAGTCAAAACTGAGAAAAAAGATTAACAAAAATGGCAAAATTAAATGCAATGTCTCGCGACCAGTTTTAAAACGTCGCTGATGACCAGTGTTCGAACGGCTGATTAAGACCAACCACATGATGTGCTCTCAACCATCAGAAAGACTATTGTTTTGTTTGTCAGTATCCCACACTTACCACAGTGCAGTTCATCACTGTGATCCTCACAGTCAAAGTACCCATCACACACCTGATCGGACCAAATTGACCTCTGACCCTTGTCACATTCGAAGAATTCTGCCAATGATAAGGGAGACAAGCAGCTGTGTGATGCATTCCTTTTAATTTTACAAATCAAAGTAAACAAATTCAAAGTGACCAAAAAAACTGACAAAATGCATCTAAACTCTCTGCTTTTTGACAGCATTTGTAAAACTAAAACCCGCAGTCACTGCAGATCCATCATTGAAGTTGGTTTTGAATCTCTACTTACGTGGTGGTAGTTGACCATCCACTAAGGATTGAATAAAGTCCATCATAGATGTCACATTGGTGTAATAGTTGACTTCGCCACATTTCTTGCCACTGCTTACTAGTCCAACAATGTACCAGCTCCCCTGCCGCCCTCGCTCCATGTCACTATTCAGACAGACTAGTCCACTGCCACTGTCAAACTATACGGTACGTTACAAAGACTTCAAGTCAATCACTATTGTCAGGAAGTTATTTCACAAGTAACAGGGCTGGGGATGTTAGCTCAAAGTAAATTTACAATGCAAAAAAATTGACTTGACGTCACAATTGAGTTCACACTAAAAATCTTGCAGAGTATGAACCGGCACATACACCAAGCTGAAATCAATGAACCCACTTGGCCTGACTGTCCATTGACTGTCGGCATTGCACTCACGTGGCATGCCCTGGCCAGCCCGCCATACGTTGATTGTCTGCACTGTACACCCAACCTTACTCACATGCCAAGCCCTGGCCAGCCCGCCCGCCGTCCGCTGACTGTTGGCATTGTACACCCAACCTTACTCACCTGGCATGCCCTGGCCAGCCCGCCGTCCGCTGACTGTCTGCATTGTACAACCAACCTTACTCACATGGCATGCCCTGGCCAGCCCGCCGTCCGTTGATTGTCTGCACTGTACACCCAACCTTACTCACCTGGCATGCCCTGGCCAGCCCGCCGTCCGTTGATTGTCTGCACTGTACACCCAACCTTACTCACATGGCATGCCCTGGCCAGCCCGCCGTCCGCTGACTGTCTGCACTGTACACCCAACCTTACTCACCTGGCATGCCCTGGCCAGCCCGCCGTCCGTTGACTGTCTGCACTGTACACCCAACCTTACCCACCTGGCATGCCCTGACCAGCCCGCCGTCCATTGACTGTCTGCACTGAACACCCAACCTTACTCACCTGGCATGCCCTGGCCAGCCCGCCGTCTGCTGACTGTCTGCATTGTACAACCAACCTTACTCACATGGCATGCCCTGACCAGCCCGCCGTCCATTGACTGTCTGCACTGTACACCCAACCTTACTCACCTGGCATGCCCTGGCCAGCCCGCCGTACGTTGATTGTCTGCATTGTACACCCAACCTTACTCACATGGCATGCCCTGGCCAGCCCACCGTCCATTGACTGTCTGCACTGTACACCCAACCTTACTCACCTGGCATGCCCTGGCCAGCCCGCCATACGTTGATTGTCTGCATTGTACAACCAACCTTACTCACCTGGCATGCCCTGGCCAGCCCGCCGTCCGCTGACTGTCTGCATTGTACAACCAACCTTACTCACATGGCATGCCCTGGCCAGCCCGTCGTCCATTGACTGTCTGCACTGTACACCCAACCTTACTCACCTGGAATGCCCTGGCCAGCCCGCCGTCCATTGACTGTCTGCACTGTACACCCAACCTTACTCACCTGGAATGCCCTGGCCAGCCCGCCGTCCATGACTGTCTGCACTGTACACCCAACCTTACTCACCTGGCATGCCCTGGCCAGCCCGCCGTCCATTGATTGTCTGCACTGTACACCCAACCTTACTCACCTGGCATGCCCTGGCCAGCCCGCCATACGTTGATTGTCTGCATTGTACACCCAACCTTACTCACCTGGCATGCCCTGGCCAGCCCGCCATCCGCTGACTGTCTGCATTGTACAACCAACCTTACTCACCTGGCATGCCCTGGCCAGCCCGCCGTCCGATGACTGTCTGCATTATCCCAACACAATTGACTTGTGCCCAATCCTCTTTAGAAAGCCTTCTTACAAACCTTACTCACCTCGCATGCCCCAGCCCGCCGTCCGCTGACTGTCGGCATTATCCCAGCACACAGCTTTTGTTCATTGACTTGTAGCGTGTGTGTGTGGGAGATGGTTGAGGCAAATGCGTAGCATTCCTCCCTGGAGAGTAGGGGCATGGAGATGTAGGTTTGCTCAGGACGCAGGACCACTGCAGACATTAAAATCATTGAAATGTTGTATATGATGTAATTTAAGACAAATGGCACATAATAAATAAATAATTCTTTTGTTTAAGAGAGTCCAAGATAGTTGATGAGCTCCTTCTTTCAGTCTTTGTGTTTGAGGATCCAACCACAATTTCTGCATAGTTGATAGTGGGTATTAAGTTTGGATGAAGCTTTCAATTTTTTTGTAACACAGGCTAAAGAAAACAACCGGAACATACCCCACTTTGCTCCGTGCATCTGATTGTAACTGCATTTACTAGGGGTCTTCTTGGTTCATCATTAGCCTGGCCATTTGACTACTCAGAGAGTTCCCACCCATTTGTTCAGCATTACAGCCTAATGAGAAGTAGTTTGTGTAATATTGTGCACTAAATTCAAGATGATTGGATTCAACCTTTATAGAGATGATAACCTGCTTTGGACATAGCAGATCACATGTTGATTCTAATTTGAGAATTTGACATCTTAATTGCTTACATCGTGGTTTAATGCTTCCCCAGGTAGCCAAGTAGCACTCGCTCCCAGCACTAAACTGCATACCGCTCTGTGGAAGGCAAGCCGGCATCACAAACCCACTATCCCAGTCCAGCGACTGGGCCAACCTCAACATGGCAATGTCATAGTTATGAATCCGTCTCTCGGCTAGGTATCGCGGGTGGATGTAAAACGTCTCTACTGTCATGATCTGAACGTTCATGTTGGTTTTTACCGTCTGGTTTCTGACAGTGCTGCCTGCATGGATGGTGAAGTCACTGGCATTGAGTCGCTGCCAACCTTGTTCCCTGTACCTTTGAGTTATAGTAAAAGATTGAAAAATAACAATGATTATAACACCTCACCCACAGATTCTGTATCTTGATTGGCCAAAAGCGAGTAACATGGTATTTGCTATTTTTGCTATCTTTCAGTTCAAGGCCAAAAGTACGGACTATTTATATTTGACTCAAAGTGAGTTTTAATTCCTAAGATTTCTTGCTATATCAATTTTGTGATGTTACTTTAGGACAGTATTTAACTGAAGACTTGGGGCAGTATTTGAAAGAAAGTTGGTTTATTTTCCAACAATGGTTCCACTTTTCTTGAAAATGACAGCATACCATGATGGCATAATTTCACAGGATGCTGAAGTGAGGAATTACATTATAATTTGATTTTTTTTTTAGTGTTTGCACTTTTTGTTGTATGTTATAAACATTTTTGTAAACAAAAGTAACATGGTCTATATTCCTTCTAGCACATCATGAACATTTAAAAAGTGAACAAAAATGTCCTGGAGATCTTGTCTGGATTATGAGCTGCTTACATGCAATGTGCAGCAGTCACGACCCAGTCACTAGCAATCACCACTCCACCACACCTGTACCTCCCTTTATACTCCAGCGCCACCTGCCAGGGCCATTGGCCCTCAGAGGATAGATCACCATTCACGATCCGCTTCCTTCTCTTGGTGGCCTGATATGCTGGCCTGGTGCCGCACTGGGCTGGTAATATGCCCTCCAGGGTGACCGGGATGTTAGACTCTGAAGGAATGAAGTAAAAAAAAAAGGAAGGGGCTAAAATATCTTCTTTTAAACTGATGATGTTCCTATTCTGACATAACACCAATAGTGTATTGTTCCTATTCTGACATAACACCAATAGTGTATTGTTCCTATTCTGACATAACACCAATAGTGTATTGTTCCTATTCTGACATAACACCAATAGTGTGTTGTTCCTATTCTGACATAACACCAATAGTGTATTCTTCCTATTCTGACATAACACCAATAGTGTATTGTTCCTATTCTGACATAACACCAATAGTGTATTGTTCCTATTCTGACATTCGATAGACCTTGCTAAGCAGCCAACACTAGCTGCCTGACATGATTTCAGGATGAAGTGCATGCACGACGTTGATTGGCCAATACAATCTGATGAGGTGACAAATTGGTATGTTTAGGAAGTTTGTTAACACAGAGCGTCAGTTGCCTGATGCATATCAATCATACATTTGTATACATTAAGTGATTTAAAAAGAAAGATCAAAGTCTTTTTTTTTTCTTAGGTCCTGTAACAGATAAAGATGACTGCGTCAACTTGTTTAAGAGTTGCAGCCAGTCAATCAGAAGTACAAGTCATTTACAATGTAATGTAAGAAAGTATGTAATTGACCAAGCTTCATTTTTTTTGTGTGAATTTGTGTTTTTGAGAGGCCATTCCTTCTTAAGGATTGCAGTGTGTTCACTTGTGTTTGCTCAAATGTTTGGGTCTTATGGTCGTCTTATCCTTCCACAAACATGTTTGCAGACTATAACGATCAGCCCACGAGGCGCTATAAAGTTCGACTGTACAAATGGTGACTCGTCTCCAAATGAAAACAAAGTCAGGATTTCTCAGCACATGCGCTCAAACTTGGAAAAACAGGGGGATTAGGAGAATGTGCAGGATATACGAAGTGTTGAGAGAATTCCCTTGACTTTTAAGTTGATGGTGAAAAAGTTTGTAAGCAATGAAAGACAACAGGCCAAGATATAGCCCCATAATGTGGCTCAAATGCTCAACTTCCTCCGTATTGTGTACCAGACAGTCTGGGGAAAAGATGACTTTTAGGAAATCGAAATTGGCAAATCGAAAGTTTTCCTTTTATCAATTTACCATGGAAAATACTTACCTGGTAACAACCAGGGAAAATCAATTATAAAGTCAAGTGTACATGGCATGTAACCAAGAGGTAATAAACAGCAACTTTGCCTGAAAATTACAGGAGAATAAACACCTATATACAGAAAAAGAATTCATTTTTTCCTGGCTATTAACCATTAGGTAAATATCTTCTGTGGTGAATATCAAGTGAATAGAAAAAAATAGTGCCGATTTCGATGTTGTCACACTGCACGGAATATATAGCTTGTCACTTGATTTGAGACTGGATAGTTCGTGATAGACTTGTAATGACTTGAATACAACATAATCATGTTCATTAATTATGAACACTGTTGGTATGTGTAAAGTTGGAAAGAGTTGAGTGATAATACGCAACACTGACTAAACGTGATTTGTACTCGAATGTAAATGACATAAAAGTGCGGTGAACCTACCCGGAAACTGAATACTTGAATTCAGGCTTTTGCTCGGCTGTGAAAATAAAGCTGAGAAGGAGATGTAAAACATTAATATAAATTCCATAAATCAATATTTGACATAATCCATTGCCATTATAATTTTACTGGTTAGGAATAAAGTAACGAGCCGTTAGTTTTCATGTGAAGTGTGTGACCATTTAGGATTTTTTGTCAATTTATATAGAGCTTGTAAGTTCAGCATACTCATTTTGAGTTAAAGGTCACAATAAGGCATGGATCTCAAAAAAGTATAGCATTTATTGAATCAAGTTGGCATCTTTCGGAAATATCCTGATCGAGTTTGTCTCCATGGAAATCCCCCATTTGAATCCAGTTTCTTTGATTTATAGCTTTTCTATATCGTTTAAAGATATATTAGATTTTTCGTTTGAAGCAATAAACTTGCTAAAAATACTTGAGTAAGGTGCATACCAAATAACCGGTTGAAGTTCTAGTTCAGTGCTAAACGTTTCGCCCAAATGAGAAAGCACATGCACAAGTTTGTGGTTGTCGTATAATTTTGTTGCTAGCGCAAAAAAAATGTGCCGGCGATCGAGAGAGCACGCTATTTGAAACCAACTTAAATGTTTGTATTCTTCAGAACGATATAATTTCAGGCGAAATAATTTAACAGGGTATTTAATGCGACTCCAATCTCCAGGTTTCTGTCATTAAATCGAGACGTGTCTTTCAGGGTAAATCAACCTGTCTCCACGTTCAAAAATTGTGATTTATAGACCCTTTTATTTAATATGCAAGACCAAATCTGGAACAAAATCGAACAAAAAAACCCCCACAATTTGATCAGCTTACCATTGAAAATCAGAACTATGGCAATGACGGCCAAGATACATAAGAAGGCAGCACAGACCATGGGCTTGATGTGATTCTGTTGCCGTAGTGACACCACCAGGGTTTTATGAGCTGGGATCCGCCAGGAGGTCCCGTTGACTAGTGGAGGAGGCGTGTACACCACCCCGCCTTCATCCTCCGCGCTGGGTTGAGGGGGAGCTACGCTCACTAGGTAGTTGTCGTATAACTCCGTTTCTGGCATGGTGGGATACTGTATATTATAGGCGTCAATTATTATACCATTAGAAGTGGTAAACGCATAATCACACAAAGTGGTGATAATTATAACCACATGAAGTTACTTTTCACGAACCGCATACATATCCCGTACACTTGTAATTGTCTCTATATTAACGACACACTGCGGACGAATACATTATGGTAAGTTATGCCCAACCTCAAACCACATTTTGATTGGCTGTTACAGGATTACAATAATGTGGAATCAATGTGCAGTTGCTTGAGATTTAAAGACGCGGCATCTCGAACCTGCTGGAGAGAGACATAGGGATGAGCTAAAGTAACACCAACTTCCACTGCAACCCCAAAGTTATAAGTTAGAGGCATGGGATCCCCATTTCCTGCAGTATGGAGAAGGCACTCAATTATTTGGTATACATTTTAATACTTACAATGCGCTTTTGTTTTTCTTTGTCAAATTCGGAGAATAGTGGTATCAATTTGGGCATTTGCAAAAGCGGGGGCCTAATAGATAAATAAGTTACTGGAAACAATAGGATGTTCTTATTTTATTAGAGTACAATCATCCTGTAGTGAAGACAATCCATACTGCAAACAATGTGAAAGTAATGTTAATTACACATGTACACATTTGCCACTGATTCAAATAGCGGCGTTTTCGATAGTATATACCGTCGTGCATGCTTGCCTGAGGTTGACAAGACTTAACTTGGAGAATATGCTTAATTTTGCACCAACCGTCTCCAGTTATCCGACACACCCTTCCGTGCACGGTTATTTTATTTCTAGAACTTAGAATCGAATTGGGCTTGAATTGGTAGAGATACTTTAGACAGCAAAATGAAGGAATGTGTTATTTTTGACGCCACTTTTGTGGTCGCCTATACAAAGTCTTTGGGCGAGTCATGACATTGTCAGGTAAAGTCAAACAAAATATGAATTTATCTCAGTCCCAACTTAACAGTTTTTATAGCATATTTTTTTTGCATCCTACTATATACGGTTGAGTAAAACAAAAGTGTCGGGACGCCCAGCCACAATACAGTTAACTTGTCATGGCACTTCATTATGGGGTCGCATTCAACCGTTTCAGTATTGGTGTGATGTGGGATCGAAGCTTTTGACTTTTAGTCTTTCTTTTTACGGGGGGAAATTTTTTGGTCGAACGGGGATTCTGAAATACAAAAGAACACAACAGGATTTTATAAAATTTAACAAACTGAACACAAATTGCAATGATGTTCAACACTCACCGTTCGATGTAATCTGCTGTTGAAGTAACTGTCCTCCCCTCAGGGGCACTCGGGTTTTTGTCTCTTCACCAAACTTCAGAATGACAAATTCGCACTTGAAATCTTACTCGAGACCGTCACGGGTATGGATTTCCCGTCCGCAAACCATCGCAATTAAGCCGACCGCCAGCGGTGTTACGGGAATTGTCCGCCGTTAGTTCCATCTATTTTCCGGCGCTGGATGGGCAACCTTGGATGGTAAATCTTCTTGGAAATCAAATTTTCAGTCAATTTTTTTTTTATTAAAATGCAAACCTGCAGGTTCCCTGTAAGTCCGGCTCGTTATTGTGTATTCAGTTATCGAGTGCGTATTGAGTCTGGTGAATTGTTCGATCGGAAAGAGCTCAACATCACGTTTCGAAAGCTGAAGCAAAAGGCAAACTTGCGGGAAGAAAGCTATAGGGTCACTCTCAAATCTATGGAACGTAAATTCAGGCCCAAAAGATTCGGATGGGGCTCATGTTGTTCACACTTTTGAGCTTGATAATCCATTGGGAAAACACAGAATAATGGCTGTTCTTTTTTTGTTAATTAACAGAGAATGTTTAATTTTTTTATGCCGGACCATCGATGCATCAACTGTGTTAAGTTGAAAACGACTCACATCTACCTTGTCTTCATACTGGCCGCGTTGTATTTTTCAAAGCATTTCACGCGAAGCACGAAAGACATGTCAATACAATACAATTTGGTATGCCTGCCAAACGCTCCATGTCTATAACACAATCACTGCAATAAACGCCACATGCAGGAAAATGAAGTTGTTGATGCCGAGTCCTTTGGAGAGATTACACAAACAAGTTATCCAGAAATTGCCGACTGTTGTTGAGGTTCAGCTAGACCTCCTCAGACGCAACACACACCAATGCTCCAAAGTGAATGTCGCTCATAGAGCGAAACCAGATCTTCGTAGAGAGTTTCACAATCATGACGCACGCACTCCCCTGTCTCGCCAGGTATAGCATCCCATCGCACCTGTGGAAAGTTGTCCCACTCAATTTCACCGGTCACCTCGGAATTCCCAGCATATAGCTGTGCCAATTTATCAGGTCTCTTCAGTGAACACAACACTCCGTGCCCGACTTACGCTGACGGAAGTAGGGCCTTATAGACGTACACGGGGCTAGCGGTGCGCGCGGACTGTGGACCGGCTTTTGTTGGTTCCCGTCCCGTAATCACCGTTTTATTTCCTGACACTTGACGGCACAGCCGGTGATCAACTATTCTTCGTTTTCCGTTTTGTCTGTCGATTTTTGCTGTGAGTTTTGGAACTATTAATATTCACGGCAGTTGGCGCGATCAAATACTCTCTGCACTTGGATGTAATTATTCAACCCCTGCAACGGGTACTGTGACATTGTTCCCATGACTGTTATCAATCTGGGCGGGCGGTACTATGGTCACAATAACGCAATGTCATCACAATAACACAGTCTTCCAATGTTCAGCCTGCGTGAGTGCGTCGGATAGAGCACAAGCCGCAACTGCCAGTATCGTTCTCAATAATGAAGAGATGTAAGATGATTGCTAAGTGTTAAGAATTTTTACCACGGTCTGAAAGGTGTCTAATTCATCGCGAGAGTGGGCTCTTTGAAAATGTTGAATTTGTTACCACTTTTTGGAAACGGAATGTGGCACATTAAGGGCATAATAACGAGCCACAAATCCCCTCTCCTCCCCTATGCACAGAATCATATGACACATAATTTTTATACATGAAAATATACTTTGCGAACAATGACGAAAAAGGGGGCGGAGCTAGCTTTCAGTAAAGGGGGGGGGGCTGACACTATTTCGCTTTGAAACTCAGACAAACTCTTCCTTTTGTCAAATGCAATAAATTGGTCGGCAAACTCAAAATCGATTTTTGTCACTTCGTGAAAACATCGACGAATATGAAGGGAATGAAGGCGTGCCAAGTTACGCCCCGCAAGGGATTCCGGGACATCCCCCAACCTCGGGAAAATTTTGACGATGCTTTCTTCTGCATTCTAAAGCAATTTGAGAATATGAAATCAAGGAACTTAAGCATTCCATTAGATACGAGCTAGTTTACTGCCCAAGTAACCTCCCCCTCCAACCCCCCCCCCCCCCCCCCGGGCCCCCTCTAGATCCGCTACTGCCATACACCATCCCGGCCCTTTACCAAAGTTATTACCATGCGTAAAACCGGCTCAGTTTGGATAGCTTATAATGAAAATGCAAATGGTAAAATGCAATTAGGCCTACATCCAGGGCAGCGAGATGACCCTGGATTTGACCAGAGCGTCTAGGCTAGCCAAAGCATACCCAGGGCTAGAGATAGCACAATCAAAATACACGTTGATAATGAATGAAGGAATAACGGGATGGGCTGCAAGCGAAAACCGTCTTTTATTCTGCGTTGTTCAAAATTACAGAGTTGAAACAAGTCATTCACAAGTCACATTAAAGTCCTTTTAAATAATTCAATAGAAGTGTGCAATCATGACTTGTGATTGATTCGATGATTTGATTACAACGGGCGGTGCTGATAAATCTCAATTGCCCCGTATTAAGAGACAAAGTAACGGCCTACACGTGCAGCTTCGGCCACGTGACCTGGAATATAACGTGCAAGGACTAATTTCAAATTTGCACTGAAGCCAATAAATTCTTGCACGTGCAAATTGGGTACGGGAATACTCTGGTGCCTGGCCATGCTTTGAGTGTTCAATTTTGTATGCAGTGTCTGTGGTAAAAACAGAATCAATTCGTCGAGGGTGTGAGATCCGCGTGAATGCTTAGCTGCTAATTTGAAATTCATGTACAATGTACTTCCGTATCTCGAGAAAGTGACGCAGTCGGATTTGATTCCGTATAGAGCAATTTTTGACTAGACGCGAGACCAGCGCCGTAACATGGGGGTTGGGGCACGCCCAGGTTAATATGTAAAAATATCTTCGCATTTAAATACCGACACTGTAGCCAAACACGTTGGGTGATCCATCCAGAAAACGAGGACCTTAAAGGTCCCGTCATGCATATTGGGCGGCCAGTGGTCAGGGACAGTCCAAGGCCCAGTCTAGACTTGACAGTGAGGTATGAGGCTCTCGTCAAATCCAATTCCAACAGCGCAGTACTACATATACCAATTACTTTAATTTCCGAGATTAACGGAAACGGCGTATCCGGACTACGACGCGCTCCCCTCCAGGCCAGACCTGTTTGCCTTGTGGGCCTCCCGGTGATACTGATAATACTGCCCCAAATATTGCATGCCACATGCAGTGAGAAAATACATAGATCCGGAGCAGCACACTCAGCATAGGCCTACATTAAATATACGCGAGCAATTTATTTCCATCGCTGAAGCGTCATGCAAGCATGGTGCAAGTAATGCAGAGTGTTAACAGATAGTAACCATCGACGAATCAGGTACACACGTACACCGGTAACGCATCGTGCATTTTATTAAGAGACATTTTATCAAGAGACTGGTTCCCAGCCGGCCTTTGGATTGTCGTTTTAACGTCATCATTCCAACTTTTCACAAGAGGAAATGTTTCTAACGGACATGCCAACTAGTTTGTTTGAATCTGTACGTCAGTAATTCAGATTCGAACTCGAACTCGAATCTCTCGACTTGCAGTCAGAATTTGAGCCATGTGTCTTGAGTCTTGACTAGACTTGAACTCGAGTCAAGTGACCCGAGAAGAGATTCTAATTATTAAGCGACTTTGGACCCGGTTCGGAGACTGACTCGATATAGTCAAGTGAAGAAAAGTGACTCAAGTGAAGTGGACTGGAGTCAAGTGACTCGAGTTTTAGACTCGAGTCAATTATTGAACAAAGGTTGGGGTTGCGGATTTACCGCATGGAAACCATCTCTTCCTTGAAACATAACTCTTGCCGACGTACTTTGACAGGCCTACTGTTCTTTCTCAGGAAAAAAAAGAAGTATTGCCCAGGCTCTGCTGTTCAAATATAAAAAAAATAGGTTGATTTTTCGTGCTTTAAACATGGTGAGGAAAATAATCGTTTTCCAGATGACATGGAAGCTGCACGCGCATTTGGGAAACATCAATAATTGCTTGTCAAATTTTCTTTTCGCACGGATGACGTCATTTTCCCTCGCCTTAAAGCATACTTGCCAGTCACGACATCGCGTGACTTGCCAAGCAAAGATCGGATTTAGGTTGCTATTTCTTCTCCACCGATGTCGAGTGCCTCGAGTCAAGGACTTCGTTTTTTTTCACTACACTGCGCTCCTGGCCGTTGTTATAGAAACCTTATAATAATACACAATTTCAATTACATGTGATATGCGCTGATTGTCCGCCAGAAATTACACCGAGCTTTACTGAGTCGCCGTGCTTCCGCTTTTTATTACTTCTCTTTTGTTAATGTAAAAGCCCTGATTACTTATTCTTCCGAGATAAACGCATCTCCATTCTATATTTTTTACAAAAAAAGTAATTAAGTCAGAAATCTTTGATGGACAGTAATCTAACGGCCGTTAAAATAAGAATGAGCTACAACGATAATGAAATGGCTTACCAATAGTGAAACGGCATGCCCGACGTAAAACTCGCAATGAGATAAGACTTCACGAGAGACCATAATTTACGGGCCCTGGACCGAGAACAATGAAATATTTTCAGTCCTTTCTCTTTCACTGTTCAGTTAGTCATTTTCAAATCAGATCTGCAGTAAAATCCTCACAAATCAATGACAAAGACTAGTAGCTGTTTTAAGTCAATTCACCTCCAAAAACGAACAGCAAAGAGGCGTATAACTATCTGAGTATAAAGTAAAAACATTTGAACCTGTCCTTGGAATATTTACGGAGAACGATCAGAATGCAAATTTCCAGGCGTTCAAGCCACCAGGGCCCACTGGCATTAGCATGCTGCGCACGCTAACTTCCGTCTTCTAAATTCCCATGAAAATATTTGTCTACGCCGCTGGCCGTTATAGTTCGGATTAAAGCTAACCAACACGAAGCTTCTGAACCCATAAGCCTTATCGATTCACGCATTGCTTTTTTCTCCACTCGACTAGAGGTAATACACTCTTTACACAATCGCCCTCCCCTTGACACGCTGTATGACAATCATTTCTCGTTTTATAAGAACGCAACGCGCCTCGGGCTAATAACAATAATTGAATTAAATCATATTTGTAACCACTGGCCGAGACCACTACAACAAGTTTATATATCCACAGACATTCGTGATTTCTACGGCACTTTGGAACCGAGAGTCGAACCCTCACCATTTCAAAAAGGCACTTGTGATTGGTCATAACGTTTGCAGAAAGTAAATATTAAATTAGCATTGAAACCGAGGGAGCCAGTGCTCTTTCTTGGTGAAGATAAAATAAAGAAATTGACTGGGTGGAGTTTGAACCTCCGATCTCCAGAACACCGTTCCAGTGCGGTTCCCAATTTTCTCAATGCCATGGTTCGGGCACGCTAGTCAGAAGAATTAAACATCGGCCAAGTTTCATGATAATCGATCGCTAGGCATGATGTACTATCGCAACCTACCCTCTTGACCAGCCTGTTTTTTTGGTTTTTTTAAGAAATATGTATTAGGAACCCTTACAAGTCATGAAACCGCGGTTGTCATCTCAAGATCATAACGCAATCTGGTTTGATGGGGAAAAAAGTCAACTTTGATTAAAAAAAATACCCAAGTATGAAAGAGGGGCTAACACGTCTCTTGTCGGCTGGTTCTGCATCACTGGGTGATATTCTCTAGTGACAGACAAGATTCAATTTGGAGGTGATACCTCAGGCAAGCATGTTCCAGGTGATGGCTCTTGAGATAGGTCCTTGTGTATGCCATGAATACAAATAAAATTGTGAGGAGATGGAGACGCGTTGAAAGACTTATACATCACCGAAATGTCTATTGAAATTGTCTTAGACTGTAAATGCATCATCTCAACCAATGTCGTCATGTTATGACAATATATAACATTTAGCTTACCCGAATGCAAATAAATATCATTCGGAAAACATTCGCTTAATACTTACAGTATATGATGAAAGGTGACATTGTCTTATACTATTTGCAAAATGTACCCTCTCAAAGGAATGTTTCCAGATAAAAAAGGCTTTACAAATTTCAATGAACTTCTCTCTTCAGTGCGTGAGATTTTTGACCGCCATTCTTTAGTTCAATGTAAAAGTACGTGTCAAGAGTACGATCCACTAGAAAACATAAGTGAGATTGTTCACTGTCATCCAGAAGGTTCATGTGCGTTGATGGTATATGTTAATTATGAATGCAACTCGTAATCGAAATGAAGAATGTTCGTGCCCATCGCAGCCGTGCAAAGGAACGCTTGCTTGACATCCAGTTTTGTCTTATCGAGCATTATACATGTGTTGGAATTGTTGAGGAAAAGTTAGAATTTCATGCAACACTGCATGTGCCCGGCTTTAATAGGATTAGCAGAATTCGAATAAAAAAATGAAACTAAGGCCAAAAAAAAAAAAAATAAGTCAGTCTCTGGTCAGCGCGCGCGTCGATTTTAATCATGCGCGTCGATCTTTTTTTTTCCAAAATGTTCCGCGGTAGCTTCAACAGCGCCCTCTATTTCCGCACCTCCTCAATTTTTTTTACCAAAGAGCATCAAGGAATGGGAAATTGCACCAAGGCAAATGATCGAAAGCACCAAGGCAAATTATGGAGGACACCAATGTACATGAGGACACCAAAAAAGCAAAATAGTACCCCACCTTGTCTTGTACAATCCAAGCTTGAAGAAAAAAAAAAAAGCCAAAAAAAAAAAAAAAAGCCGCGTGGCCGCGTCAATTCCGGAACTTTGGTCTGACCAGAGACCGAATATTTTTTTTTTTGGCCTAACATACATTCCACTCGTAAGGTGCATGTACTTTGTACATAGATACAAATGGGTCAGGACAACAGGCCACATGATGACTATACCTGCAGGAGTTAAATTGTGACTTGCTGACCTTTGATTCTCGCGCCGCAGGTTGGATCACTACACACAGCACACCTGTCATCGTGCATTTGATAGAAGAGGTACCGAGTTGTAAAGATAAATATGACTTCACAGTGAAAGAAAGAATCAAACAAATCTCACCAACGTTATACTGCAGATTCAGAATTGAGATTGATAGAAAACATGCGAAATTCACAGGTTTGAACACTTGAAAGGCAACATGGAAGCCGCCTTCCAACACTCTTGAGAATGTTTATTTACATTTCTCGGATAAATTCCAAACTCACCAATTAAATATCTTTAGCGCGGAGAGTAACACGCCGAAGGGCAATTATGTTTGGTAGCAGTATTTCAAAGTAGCTTTAAAAAGTCAAGACTGACGTAAACACATTCGGAATGGGCCCCAAGCTTTGTGTCAATAACTTGTCCTCATAAAAAAGGAACGAATTACGATCAGGTATAAACATTCAAACGTGCGTGCCCATTCCTTGGAATGAGAAAGTAGGCATGAAGTAATGTCGGCCTGCTGAGTTCCGGTGGGCATTAGTCAGGTACAGCAGTGGTAATATTAAAGGGATAATATCAAGTACACAAAACCATATTAATGCTTAGGCCTACATGCAATAACGATTCATAAACTTTTCAGAACAGTTTTCATCTTACATCTGCTACATGTTTTCATTTTTTTTTCAATTATGGTACATTTCCATTTTTTTTTTTTTTTTACTATTTCCTAGATCCTCGCGGGTCGAACTAAACCCTTCCGACGAAAACAATATCTGTGTATAATCTCCGGAGAGCATTTCAAGTCATCATGCATGTCAACCTGCGAAAATGGATGAAAGCACAGGTAAAAATCGATAAACTGCGTTTACCTTCTCAGAAATCTGACTCAAAACATAGAAATCATGAAATGGAATGTCTCGCACAGACCTTAGATAACCTGTCCCTTGTTACTTGCACTCCTCCTGGGTCGCTTCAGACGATCACTCCTCAGGAAGCTCTGTATCCGGTAAATCTGACTGGCAACCTCCGTCTTGATATCCGTCTGGTCATCGTCGTCTGAGAAGAGCAACGGCTTATCGTCATTGTCGTCGTCACGGGAGGACGAGGGTCTTTTCGATCCAACTGACGGAAACACTTCGGCAGGAGTTGAAGTCCTTTTGGGAGTCGATTTCACTCGAAGTAATGCTGAGTAGTCGATATTCTGGAGGATAATGATCGCATAATTACTATTTAAATATAGGTAATGGACATTATTGCCAAAAATAAGTATTTTTTTGCCGATTTAAGGAACAACAATGCAATAAATATGACGTTGGTTATTACAGAAATTGCCTGGACGAAATTTCAGCTCAGTAGATATACGTTTTGAGAAATTGTGCAAATGGCATCGTCATTTTTCTCAACGCAAAGCAAGGTTTTTGTTGAAAGCTCTCCCTATCAAAATGTAAGCAATCGGAAAACTTAAACAAATTCGATCATTTCCGGGCAGCGTTTGAAAAAAAAAAATAGCCTTTTAAGAAATGATATGTATTCCTCTTTTCCTGAAAAATGAAAATATGCTTTGCGCAATGATTTCCTAGGATGCTTGATCCCATTATTTACTCACAATCAAATAGAATATTTCATAAGATTTTGACAATTTTATTTTTAAACATTTGTGAACGGTGTCCATTACCTTTAAGATTAGAAAATGCCACTGCTGTCGTTTAGTAAGGCGTATTTTATTTATACATATACCGCAATGCAAACCTGATACCGCTCTCCGTAATATCTTTTGACATACTTTTCTTTTTAATTACGTTTTTTTAATGTGGGTTTAAGAACTTAAATCAGTCCTGTTATATTCTTTGATGTCCTCTCGGCGTCACAATGTCCTACACGGAATCCTGCACAGTTCAATCAATGTTCACAAGGCACCGGTGTTTTCATTAAGGCTGCGCGTTTCCGTTATTTCTTAAAATGGATGTAAATTTCGTTACAATAATTACTCACACACATTATATTGGAACTTATACCTTAATAATATTACAAATTCAAATAAAAGGTATACACATTGTGTTCTTGTTAACATATAGGCACTGCATGCACGGCAACACTTTTATTGAATACGGTATTCTTACAGGTCTTCATAAAAAAATCCAGAGTTTCAAAAATGACATCCAGGGTACAGACACTCATCCAGGGTATAGTTGCTCCTGCCCCGTGAATCAATATTTCCCACTAGCAACCCATGTACCCGGCTGGCCGGCTATCCTCCCCTCAAGTACCATTCACCCACCCCCTCCACATGACCTAGCCTCGTTCTGACCAGATTCTAATAGAGTCGATGAAACCTAGAGAATGAATTGTGGTCATGCGCAACCTAAGTGTGTGCGGATAACTTCAGAATCAGTGATGGGTAGAAGACTTGAAAGCGGCAATAGCTCCCAACTTACTTTCAAAAAAGAACCTTTCACACAGGCCTATGTGCTCAACTGTCCCATGGTTCTAATATTATGAAAACATGACAATTTGGTCAAGGCTAAATTCAAATAAATTATATTATTACCCTCAAAGCAATATGCCTCTCGGGCATTTGGGTGCCATTTAAAAAAAATCAACAGCATCGCATACATTATGAATTGAGGCTGTGAGCTGGGGCTTCATGCCTTGAGTTTGTGTGGGAGAGCACAGCGTGTTCTAGTGGCAATTTGCAGTCACCATGACAGTCTGGAGCGCAGCGAAGCCTACAAAGTCGCACCAGGGCCCTTTTTTAATATTGAACTCAGTATCGGCTTGGATACTCTCATGAAAGCTTTTTATGGTTTACAGACCAGTACATGGTGACCCAGTTCTCAGTTCAGCTCTTAAAAATTGTCTGTCACTGTCTGTAAGCATGGAGCTGTTCCTAGCTCCATGCTGTAAGCAAGGCGTGTGTTTTATGACCATAATCAACCCTTAGTGGGGATGAGGATGATAAATCCTTAGTTTCCTGAATACATTCCTTTACTCTTTTGCCTTTTAAATTGAGGTGATTTTGATGATTTTATCACAACAAAAATAAGGAATTGCTTTTTATGCACAAAATTCAGTAGGGCTGATCCTATGGCACAAGTCAAAATCTTGGGGCACATCCGTCCTCCATCCCAGATTTATGCAAAAACTCTGATGATGAGGGGCTTTACATGGCTTAGAAACATTTACTGCAATTTTACAGAAATTATAGGCCACAGAAACTTACCAACGGAGCAGAGCTGGGTCCTGATGCTGACTCGAACTCCTCAGCAAAATTTGGCCACTCCTGACTGCCTTCTGTCTCTTTCGTTGACGAACACTTGCCAGACGGATTGCTGCGATCCTGGTATTTTGCTGGAAGTGGAATTTCGTTCATACTAATGTCAGTAGATTCTGGGATATTTTCTGTCTTTCTAGGAAAGGTGTTTCTGGGAGGCATGTTGGATGGTAGCTTGGTTTGGGGAGTGACTCCATATCGTGGCTGGGCAGCAAGCAGAGGGAAACCAGGGAGGACATAGGACGACCTTGTCCCAAATCTCGAAGCTTCATTCAAATAACTTGTTGGAGGAGACTGAATCTTAGATGCTTGGTCAAAGATCGAAGTACGTTTAGATGAAAGAGGATTTGTGATATTAACTCTACCAAGGTTTGTGACAGGTTGCCTGCGAGTCACGTCTTGAGAGACTTGCCTGCGTTTGATGCTTGTTTGCTGCAAAGGCTGGTCTTCTGTCTGCTGCATAATCTCATTAGCATCTTCTGATTTTGTGAGGATTTTCTCATCCAAACCTTGTTGGGTAATGTCCTTCTCTTTAGGTTGATTATGTAGGACATTTGATGAATCGTCCAGCCCACCTTGGTGACTGTTGTCTTCTGGCGATAATTTCTGCGTTGATGCTTTCGGAAGCACTACTTGATTAACTTCTAAGTCTGGTAGATTAGTTGGCATTTTGGTCGAATCTACTATGTTGACCGCCTTTAAAGCTTCATCAGTGCGTATTTCGGTCTTGTTAGCCTCATGTGGGCAAACTTGAGAAACTCCCTCTTGTGAAACACCTGTGTTCGTGATTATCTCTTGACTTGCTACACTCGTGTTGGCCTCAAGTGCAGCTATTACGGTGTTGTCCGAAAGCTGAAGTTCCTTTTTGTTGGAATTGCCACAAGGCATTTCAGGATTCTGCATACTCGTTTCTGTTTCATTGTGACTTTCTTGTTTAGCAGCAACTTCTATCACTCTCCCTGCATTTAATTCAAGTTTTGGTTCTGAACCAATGCCTGTGGTTAACTTAGCATCTGAAGGTGAGATCTCTGCTGCTTCCATATGAGTGTCTGGATTGTCGTGTATCAGTAGAACTTCCCCAATAATTGATTGTTTGCCTTCTGATTGACTGGGGCTTGGTGCATCATCCTTGATGGAAATAGTTAATTCCAGTTGCTCACACTGTGCAGAGGATGGAACCCGCTCTGTTGTGGATGTTTCAATTTGCATATTGACTTGATCACAGCTTGTGTCCTCAGGTGTCTTGCTGACCTCATTATCGGCCTTTTTCGGCAGATCCCCGTTATCAGCTGTATCGTCGTCTTTCAACTCTTGTGTTGCTACTGTTTCATTATCTGCTTTGTCAGGTTCCTCTGGAGTTGATTTTTGTTCAGCAGTTTTCTTTTCTTGCCACAGCTTAGGGTCAGTATTTGTGCTTTTGGTCTCCTTAGTTTCTTCTTTTATTTCAAATTTGCTTATCTTCTCCTGAAACAAAAAATAATTTGGTTTAATGTATTCGGTGCACAGTTTATTATTTTGGGATTCATTAATGAATTTAACCATAGTTCTTCAATTTGTGAGAAACAATGGACCAGAAATGTCACACAAGCTAATCTCACTGGGCTATTCCAATCCATAATCACAGAGACCTCATGAGCATTTTCTTCTCATCGCTTTATTTCAGGAATCACTTTTACAATCTTGACCTAAAAACAAGGCATACCTTGAGTTCTCTGATGATTTCACCCATTTCACTATTTTTTTTTGACCAGCTTATGTTCAGCCCTTCAAGAGTTTCCTGAGCTTCCAGAAGTGACTTGTTCTCCTGTAGTTGACTTGATAATTGCATTCTCAATGATTCCTCCTACAATGTATCAATGGCAAAACACGGTGGCATAAATTATGTAGAAAAACAAATTAAAGACACTTGAAACAATGGCCAAAAAATGCAGCTATTATGTGAAATATATTTATATTATCTATCAGTGGACTGCCCATTCCGAAGTAAAGATCTAAATATTGGGAATTGATTATGTAAAGCTGTAAGTTTAGAAGGGAAATATATATACATTTGTAGATGGTGTGTCTTAACTATTTCAATCGGAATACAATGATTAAAACCTATGAGGTTTTCTATGCCACCTTGTTTCTCAAAATTTCATATCTTAAGACAAACCTGAATTTGAAGCTTGGTGGTCAAGTCCTCATTTCTCAGATGCTCTGTTTGTATCTCTCTTTCCTTTGTACACAGGTCATCCTTGAGTTGACAAAGCTCACTTTCAAGCTTCTTGACATCCATGGCCAAGGAAGAGGCACGATCCGCATTTTGGTTACTTGAGGCTAGGTGTCTCTGGGAAAGCTGCTGGGACCTTGCCAAAGACTCCAGCAAGTTCTGGAAGATGAGACAGCATGGTTGAACTTAGGGATTACAAGTCAAAATGCTCACAAAAATGGATTCATTTCCGCCCCCCCTAATGTTACTTGAGACCCATGCCTATCACTGCAGAAACACACCACAGTACAATTCTACTAAATGTATATTAATATTACCGATCAAAAATAATCAAAATACCAAAAGTCCCAAATTAGGTGACCTGTTTTTCAAATGAACTGTTGTAATAAGTAACAAAGATGTTTTTTTGTATCCCCCGTTACTTGAGTCCCTACTTCTAAGCTGACTCACATTACCTGGTTTGCTGATCTTGCCTCCTCAAGATGTTCTGACAGTTGTTTACAAGTGTGTTCTTTCTGTATTAAGAAATATGGGAAAAACGTGTAATAAGTCATAAAAAATAGAACATAATGTTTAGAATATCCTGTAACAGGTAATGAAGAAATGTATTAACAATTAATGAAAAGATTTGAGATTTGTTCCTGATTTCATCCTCCTTGATTTTGTTGACTTCCCTCTGTTCATTAAATGCCAATATCTTTTTGTGCAAAGCATCTGAACATACTTTTCACGGAAAATACTTTTCACAAAAATAACGAAGAATCTAATGGGATAACAGACAAGCTCAAGCTACTCATGAATTGTTTTATAATAAATCTGCTTGCCAATGTTTAGAGAAAAGTTAATTATACACAGAACGCTAACAGTGAGCTCAAATATATAAACCAGGGACTTCATTGTAGGTCTGATATTTGTCCCACAAATTGACAAGTGTGTCTGAGCAATTGCCCTGCATACAAAACAGCGCTTTAAGCTTCACCAGGCTCAACACAGCAGTTGGGTCATGAGAAATTATTCAAGGGTGGGGGGGGGGGGGGGGGGGGGACATTGAAGCAAGAAATGAAGATGAACATAGGATTTCAGAAACGGCCAGCTTCTTGTTTCAAAAATGGTATATAACATGCTTTTTCAAAATTGAATTTTCTCTTCCGAACGAAATTGAAAGGAATATAACGTCCTGTAACAAATAAATTTGGTTATTTGTTTTTGTAGGCCTTTATACAGTTTTAGATAGTGGTTTTAAATGGCGCGCTGCAGTTCAGAAATTGCACACACTACTCAGAACAAATAGTTGAAATTGACTAATTAATTACTTGTTGTGGGCCAACTTTTAAGCGATGTCCACATAATAGTTGCAAGCTAGTGCGCTAGTAAGATGGGCAGCTACCCTTCATTTTATTTTTTCTCTTGTGGTTGTTTTTTTTTTATTAATTGAGCCCCCTTTGCTATGCCACCATAACTGTAGAGAATATCACTTTATCAGTAGAAGTATGTGACTCTAATACAAATCCAGTGATGTGGTCAAAGTACATGTGTCACAAGTACATCACAAGTCCTGCCACAAGTCTACTCATATGCAACACTGCAGGTTTAAAACAATAACAAAGGAATGTCTTGGACACATTATTGTAACAGATTGTGAGTTGACATGGGACTGGATGACCTATGATTGATTTGTAATTGACTTCTCAAGTACCTCGCTGTTCCAAAACACACCTGTTTTAGAAGTTTCTCTGTCTGCTTGTGTTTGCTCTGCACTGACTTATATTCGTTCACTTCCTGGGTTGGTTTTTCATCAAGTTGAGCTTTCAGGCAGACAATCTCCTCCATCTTCCTCTGCAGGTCTGCCTTTAGGGAATCGCTGGTGCAGGTCTGGTGCTGGTCCATGAAAGCGAGTTTACCGTGCAGCTTCTGAGCCTCTTTAACTGTTAAAGAGAATAACATCCGGGTTAATTGACAAGCAAAACTTCAAGGGTACTCGAATTGCAGGATGCATATGAATTGATGCGTTTTGGAAAGTTGGCAGGTTAAATAGGCAAAATATATAACTTTGATTAAAGGCAGGAGTAAAGTTGATCAAATGTATACGTTGAAATTGAATGAACTGTTGCAAGGAGACTTATTGACTTGTTGTCTATTTTACTCTTTCTAAAAAATCCTTGGTCTATCATTTTCATTTCCAGTATTAAATATAAAATTTCGAGGTTAATTAAGAAATTCTTCTGCTTGAGGCTTTATTTATTATGCTAAATCATTCTTTTTATCATTCCTTTTCTTGTTTGCTGCCCTTTTTTGCGTGAAGCAAACTTCCCTTTTTTTAATCTTCTTATAACAAATTAAAAGTGAAATATGTGATGGGGATAGGAAGGAAAGGGGATACATGTAAGGGCAGGCTGGGTGTGTGTGCAAGAGAGAGAGGGGCCTATTTGGGAAATTGACCTGATCTACGATGCATGTTGCACATGTGTCAGTGGCAGTGGAACAGTTTTGAAAGTAGGGGGTGGGGTAAAGCACTGCCTGTTCAGGATGGCCATTGTAAATTTGAAAAAGCTGGGGGGGGGCGTTGATAGGAGGTGCATTTTTCTATGTTTTTTTTATGAATGTTACACCTCCCCCCAGGTACTGCCACCTTTGCCATGGCAACTGCAATGCATGAATATACATTCCCCCGAGGTAGTTTTCTGAAGTAAGAGCCCAATGGCCCCATCGATCCCCCCCCCCCCCCCCCCCCCCCCAGTTCTGCTGCTGCTGCTTGGCTTGACACTTGTAAACGTATGCACATAAAGTATGAACATTCAATAAAGTGGAACACAATGCAGACATATCTTGAACCTACCATTAACCTCAAGCCTTTTGAGCTGCTCTGCTACCACACTACACTGTTTGCTAACATCTTGACCCAGTGCTTCCAACTCGGTCATCTTAGACAGGTGGGAGGAGCGAGCAGAACCCTGCATCTGCAGCCGCTGGTCTTGGTCCTTGATTGTCTTCTCCAGAGAGTACTTGGTGAGCTGTAAAGAAATAAGAAGGAGCATTTTCAATTTCCAGTTTCCATTGGAGTCCTTTGGACCCTACCCTACTGAGCAAACTTAGGACCTCTTCAATTAGTTATCTGATCACTGAAAAGATCATTTAACACTCAAACAGGTGGCTATGAAGGATTGTGGTTTACCACAAACTGATAAGAGTAATTAATGTCCTATACTCAGACAGATTGCTTCTGAAGAGGTGTCAATGGGACACCACTGGGTGTTGACTTAGTCAATTAATCAACACACCCTTATTACCATATAACTGACACTAATGGATTAGGGAAGAAGTAGATAGCATTGATGTCAATTCTACAAGAACAGCATTTTGTTTCCTTGGTTTTTCCAGCATCCATGAACACAAAAATTAAACAGGTCAGTACTGCAATGATTATTTCTATGAAATACTAACTCACAAATCCATCCATTTCTCTAAACATTACAGCAGTTGCAAATGTTACATAATTCGTAGTACCTTGAGTCACATAGGCCCAGGAAATCTATATTTCTTATGTGATTCCCTGTAATTAAACTGAGAAATGCAATTACTGAAAAAAGAAGGTATATTGCTTACAGGAGGTTTCCAAGATATTTCATTGTTTTGATAGCAAAATTAAACCCACTGTTAATTTCATATTTACCTGAAGAGATCTGATGTCATCCTTGACTTCTTTCATCTCCTTCTCCCAAGTGTCTGCAGCCAATGCAAGCTTAGTCTGCCAACAAAATGGAGAGAACAAAACACTTGTACTTGCTTAAATCAGTGCACTTACACAACCTTCATCCCTCAGTCAAACTGTGCAGTACTGTTTGTAATATTTAAAACAAAGGTTTCCAAACTCATCAGGAATATTTCTTTTAGAGAAGAAACTCCAAAGCAGGATCATGATGAAAGACTATCCACATCATTTAGTATAAGGGAAATTGTTTTTCAATGGCTCTCCGATTAACCGAACGTAATCCACAAGCCTTTGGAAGTCTAAGGGAAATGAATAGCATGCTAGTGCTAACACATGTACTCGATGTGCCCCAGAACAAGATCGATGTCCATGCTAAAGATATTAACACCCAAATCCTTTTCTATCATTGGGTCTTATGCGCTAAATCCCAGAGTTTGTCCCATGGATTGTTTGATCTCAGGATCAGTGGATATAGCTGGCCGGAAGAAGGAATTTGAAGTAATCCTCGACTAAACTTGCCCCCGAAGTGTGGTTAAGGGCAATGTAAAGGCGAGCATCTATGGATAGAGTCTTTTTTGATCTCATGTAAAAAGCATTTGAAATTACAGCAAGATTTATTGGGCTCAGTAAACTTTAATGTACGTGTCACTTGTTTTTCTTTCATGAGGAAGTTAGGCTATTGGCCTAATATTACAAATTTGCTTTTGCTACAATTTTCAGAAATGGATGGATTTGCTTGGAATTTTTTTTTAGTCTGGTTCCCTGACCTACTTCAGATGAAGTGCAGCAATTTATAATTGTCAGGTCAGGGAACTATAGTAGCCGACTTGCACCCATTCACAGATATGCGATCAATTGCAAACAAAATGTGGACTATAGCTAAACTTGGTGAATTAGGGGCAGTGGGCTATTTGACAACAAAAATCAGATTTTTCCAAAGATGGTTATTTAGCTGACCATTGTGGGAAATTGACACAGAAATTTCATTTTTTTTTTTAATAACAGCACAAGAAATGCCTTGATTTCACAGGATGCTTGAGACTATTAGATATTACAGAAAAATAAAGTAAATCATGATCATTTTGTAGTTTTGTTTTTGTTTTTGATGTTTGTAATGATGTACATTACATTTAAATTAGGTTTAAAATTTCCATCTTTACATTTCTTTAATGAAAATATTGGCATGGTGGCTGTTTTGCACCCATTTGTATCAAACCTTACACTAATCAGGAAGAAACCCAGTTGCAACTCAATCCCAACTCTGCATGCATTGTAACTGCATAGCGCCCTCTACAATCTTCATTCTGGATTGATACCTCTAATCTGAATGTAATACCTGGAGGATTTACGTCCAGCTAACAATACAACACAAACAACTATTTTGAGTGTTAAACAACTTTTTTGCCAAGCTGCTCAATTTTGCATTGGGTGCAATTTTTCGAGAATTAAGTAAAGATGATTCCAGTGAGACACCTCAGCAAAATAACATTATTTTTAGTTATTTTTTTTTTTGGGGGGGGGGGGGGAGTGTGAGTTTTTACATAATCTATGAGCCTAAAAGTTCTTAAAACAATATTAGCTGGCGAGTATTTAATTTGGCTTGTGTGTGAAAAGAGTGATTTTTTTTTTCTGAATCCACAACCTGTCAATCTTTGTTGGGCTGCTAGAGATACAGCTTGTACTGTAAGTTTGTAATTATTGCTTCGGTGTCGTACCTTTTCTGCCTGAAGCTGGTGGATTTTCTCCTCATGTTGTCGCTTCAGCTCACTCAGCTCCTGGGAATGCTTCTCAGATAAAGAAGTGTTCTTGGAAATTTCTTCTTTCTACAGACATATCAAACAAGTTCAAGTATAAAATTACACAGCAATTGAAAGGAGCCCTCAGGAAATGGACAGATCATACGGAATTTGCCTTTTTTTAATAGCTTTTATCATTGATTTTTAACAGAAGAAATTGGAATTTTTATCAGTTCCTCCCTAGGTTTGTTTAAGCAACAAGCGATTCATACTGGATAGACTGGAGCATAAAAACCCCTGCACTGCACTCTCTATGGTGATTTTTGTTTTTATGAACTATACACCAAATAGGAAAGATAATTCTAAAGTAAATGTAATAGTCCTGGCTTTAAGGGAGGAGATGGTGACTAAATGTACATAAAGCTTGGTCTTATCTGCACTCCAGCTTGCATAATTACATAATACATTTCATATGAGCTTATCATGTGTGCACACTTAATGATAAATCCATTTCCTTAAATTATCCATATGATAGGTTACAAAAAGGAATGTTTGTTCTGATACAAACAACACTGACACAGTAACAATTTCTGAGAAAAAATTGGGTACCCCACCTTAATTTAAGGGATTACCTTGGGATTATATGGGCTCAAGAAATCCAAAAACCTGGCATGATAATGCTGACCAACCTAACCCAGATAAGCGTAGATATCTTTGCTAAATACTGTTTGCACCTATCATTTAAGTAAATGAAGTATGCATACCTGATGATAACAAGGGATTTAACGCTTTGTTTATCTGAACACTGATGATCAGGCCTTCAAAACATGATAGCTTCATACTGGGAATTTTTTGACAAATTGCCAGGCATACAATGTAGCCTTGAATGGGTTCTCCTGACCTTTTTTTTTTGGGGGGGGGGGGAGGTGGAGGGGGAGGGAAGGCTGAACACCATCTTTCAATAGGATGCAACAGGAGGAATAATGGAGGCTCTACACCCCCACAACCTCTTTAGTGACGCTGTGTATGTATGTATGCACAGACATAGGCCTTTTACTGACTGGGCCCATTTTCTGCTTGTGAATTAATTTTCTTCCTGCAATGGGCATGTGTAATTAATTTTGAGCAGACTCATTCTTTAAACCAGCTGCTCTTTTTCACTGGTTTGTGCAGATTCACTTGAAATGTTCTCATTTTTCCTGCTAGCCATGTTCACACTGAGCTTTGCCAAGGAATTAGGGTCATATGTCACTGGGGGCAATTTTTATGCAACTTGTTTCAAGCAAACTTGAACTTTGTGTTTTGGGGAATTTCAATAAATTGTAGGAAACATGTTCTTCCCAAAGTTAGTTTCCTGCAGTTTGCCTGTTAATATGTCTCTTTTTACTTCTTACAATGTCTCTCTGGTGGTCATGCTGGGTGGAGACCAGCTGGTTGATCTTGTCCTCATTCTCTGCATCAGTAACCTAATGAAATGAAACACAATAAATCATCAATGCCAGGCAATTTATCTTGTTTTATTCAGTCGGAAATATCACACAAATGATGAACCCACAAAAGGTACATGTATCAAAACTATTTGTTCTGTGTACAGGATTTCAAAATGACTTTACTGCATACAATAATACCCCTACTTGCATGTTTTTATAATACTACTCCTACTTGCATGTTTTTTATGAGTCTTCAACTATAACAAACATTCACTCCATGACTTTCTCCCAGATCATTGATTTTTATTATAAAATAATCCCCTAAATGCAATCTTGTGTCCACTTTAATTTTTTTTTTTAAATTTCCAAACTGCATGGCAAAGATTTTATTTTTTTAATCTTATGCTAAATGCCATTTCTAATAAGCTTCAATGTTACAGCAGTTTCTGCTTCAGGTGTCTGATGTTATTGATGTCGTACATATTTTACTGTGGATAATTTATAACATGGACCCATTGAATGATAGATTTGATTACTGCCCAGAATTTCAAATTTGAAAATTAATACACACCCTGCGTATTTTCAGTTCCTCGATACATTCATAGAATTTGTTCTGAAACTGAAGAATGCCAAGTTGGGTGTCCATCTCCTTGGAGGAAGAATCTTTTTTCTTCAGAGCAGGATCCTCAGAATTCTTGACACTGATATCTGCACAAATACATCGCTCAAATAAAGTATCTTGATTGTTTTCAACTAGGCCACTATTTTCAATTTCTTTTTATTTTGTTGAAGGGGGGGGGGGCCGCAGGGGGCACTTGGGAGGGGGTTCAATCTGGGTGAGGAACATTTACAGACTGACTATCTTCCTCATAATCACACTCTTGTCATTAATCGATGGTGTAAATAGCATGTCATGTGCATGTGCACAAGCATGAACTTGTTCAAGCACACAGAGTTACTACATATTTGTGTTGCAGTTTAACCATTTCAGAAAAAAAAATATCTTATCTTTTTCAGTATGCTTTGGGGTTTTATGGGGCAGGTGTATCAACTACAAAAACATTAAATGGAGAGGGTCGTATTTAACTAAATGGAAGCAAAACAAATGAATGACCAGTTTTAAAATATTAACTATTAATATGTTTAATTATTAGTGTGCTTCCAAAAAAAATCAGTTAGACGATTGTCCTTTCATTTTTGTAATATTTATAAAATAAATCAGTAAAAACTTATTTGATCTTTGAAACTGCTGCAAATCAATTAATTCAGGGAGGTTATAAAAAAACAAGCAGGGTTGACATTTAAGGAAGGGGGAATCCACACACAAAAAATATTTGGTAGAGCCCCAGATCTAGAGCAGCACAGGTTCTTTTTTTTTTTAATAAAGTGCATATTGCAAGCGTTTTGAATAAACCTCAGAGCAAAAAAAGTCCAATTTTTTAATTGAGGGTCACTAATCATTGAGTCCTTATTAATTAATTTTTTTTGTACCAGTCATTTTAGATTAGAATGTTAAACAGCTGATTTGTTGTAGCCCTCGGAAAACACTAAGCAATTGAAAAAGATGAAGTTGTGTACATTTACTCACTTTCTAGGTCATTTTTTACAATGGTGTTCATCGCATGCAGAGTTCCTGAGGACGTTTGGTCCTCTCCTGTCTTCTTGTCATCCATGATGAATGGGCTTGTGTAAAGAAACTGGATTCTTAGTGTTTCTGTATATGAAAAGAAGGCATAAACTTTGAACATTGGGAATGCCTTCTAGGTATATGTAGGGCCCACAAAGGTGTTGTTGACAAGCCCATCCTTTAGGCTTTACCGTGTATCAATATTCTTGGGTTTTAAAGATGCACAATTTCAAGTTGTAGGCCCCTGTCCCTGAGGTAAATGTGAAAGTGGTTAAGGTAAATTATCACAGCAGTCAGGTCTGAAACTAAGACAAAAACATGTGTTCATTTCTCAATTGTTTACTATTCATCAATGTGCATATTTCAACAAAATGTCTCTTTAGAATATAAGTGCTGCCTGAGGCTGGTCCGACAATTTGGAACACTCAATAATGTATGCAATACTAAGCCTACTGATAATATGAAATAAAACTGGCGCATGAAACAACCAGTTCAACCACAAAATTTTGAGTGGCATGACATGGTCCCGAACTCATTGAGCTAGGCACAAACACCATGGCTTCTGGTTGGTACTTGGGTGCATGGCCAATAAGGTGTTTCATCATGCGCCATCTTGCCAACAGGACAATTTTACATGCGTTGCTGTGTAGGTCATGTAGGTATCATCAATGGAAAATTTTGTGCTTCAAAGTCATCATGCATGTCATGGCTAATGCGGTCATTCGAAAATGCGCCTGCGTCTAGCAAGGCACGTTCTTTTTGCCCCATGAACAAGATGGTGCATATTGACGTAAAACTGTAAATTTGATACGTTGTCGTTAGATTGTTGCGTGTTTTATAGCTGCCGTGATGTTAAGCATGTTACGGTTGCATGCAAATTGAATTTGAAAACACTTGGCTTCAATTTCAAGTTCAAAGCCTTCAGTCTCAGGTGCAAAATAAAATAAGGAAAGATTTCCATATAAGAAGTTCACTCAACACTCTGTGTACAAACCCTATGAAAGTGGACTGAAAAATTCTAAGTGTTTTCTAAGAAAATGCTTGTATTTTCTCACTGCTCAAATTGACTTTTATGACATGAAATTACTATCTGGGGGCTTGTTAGTCAATACAGAGGAAAATTAGTGAACTTTTTATATGGAAATCTTTCCTAAAAGAATTAAAGATTAAAGACTAAAAGAGTGAGTCAAGTCGACCTGAACATTTTCTGCATGTTTTCTTTCTGCACATTAAGGCCCTGCCTACAGTACAGGGCCTAAAGAGGACAAGCATGACATTGAACAATGACAAGCATAATTAACTGAAAAATACCTCAATGCTGCACATCAATGCTTGATAAGCTGCAGGCTGTAAAACCGAGAGAGAAACTTGAACTATGGATAGGCCCTAGGTGATTTTTAACTGAAAACTACAACTTAGATTTTAAGAAAGATATGTATATATGCGTTCTGCAAGTCCTACATAATACTGCATACTGACTGGTACTCTGGGTCCATTACGTATGTGCAGTCTAGTGGGTCGCGTTGGTTACCAGTGTTTTTGTATCGGCGTTATATCGGTACACATCATTGGTTGAAACTTTGAGGCTCAATTTTAAGTTGCACGTCATTGGTCAATACAAATTAGAGTAAAGTTTGATGGAACAGGTAATACAAGATTGGATCATGTTAGGATTGTCTACATAAAGACCAAAACAACATGAATTCGAAATTTCAAATTTGTCGAAGAGAGAAAACCTGAACTTGTATTATATTGAAAATTAGGTCAATTGTCTACTTGCTCGACACTGGGTGGCGCTACCACATTTTGCTAGTGGTCTTGCTTGATGGGGGGGGGGGGGGGGGGGGGGGGGGCTGGTCCCGAGAGCCGTGTGCGTATAGTCTATTTAATAGCCAGAAATCAGAATGGTTGTTCACTGGTAGTAATTTCATGCAACTAGTCTATTTTTACAATGACCCTGATTAAACACATTCATTGGCGCGGTTACTGGATAGGCCATATCTGCCCGGCAAAAGTTACAGATAGTAACTGGGAACTGAAGGCTGGTCAAATAATTTTAGCGTGTAGTTCTTTTTACACAAAGGGCCGGATTTAGCCAAGTCATCGGTGCTACCGGGTTTGATCCAACACAGGCTGGACCTCTTGAACCAAAAATGCACAAATATCTTAGATGTGCCACCAAAACCAGGTCTGCGAATTTGTTTTCACGACTAATTAACTGTATTTCCTTAAAATAATGAGTCAATCATGAATACTTTAACGATATATCTCTCGTTCTGTCTATGGCAGCCCTAAATATTAACGTAACTGTTGATTTGATGTTAATGAAAACAAACATGCTTTACGATTAGACGCCTAGGCGTAAATATAAAAACCATGTTTAAATGAGAGATTATCCCATTCAGGATAACGATGACATTAATCGACAAGACAAAATCCAGTAGATATAATTTTTATGAGAACAAAGTCCATGGATGTTGTTCGATTTATCTGCAACAACCTACAGTAACAGTTGAAATCTGCACACAGTTCGAAAAAGACGTTCCTGGGCGTAATATCAAAATTTGGCATAAGAGACGCATTTTAAGCCAAACAATGACCCAATTTCACTTGACTTGGGCAGTTTTTGTACTGTTTCTGGTATTGAGTTCCCGTCGTGCGTCTTGCGCAGCACATGACAGGCCCCAGGGAATAGAGGAACTTGGTAATGCCCAGTTTGTACCCGCTGCTGATTTACAGAATGGTTATTTCTTTCAGAAGGTCCGTGATTTACTGGGCTCAGTGGTCGATCATGCCGGAGCAGGGAACGCCCCAACATTGGCCATGACCAGACTGCGGCAAGATGGCCTTAAACTGCTGCAGGACCTTGGACTGTGGGACCCGCAGGAACCAGGCCAGATCGACTTGGAGGAGATGGCGGAGACAGTAGGCAAGCAGCTGCGGCAGTTTGTCGGTATCCAGGCCTGGAGGAATGTGTCTGCCAACTGCCTCAACAACACACTGCAGTTCTTTGACGATGCGAGTAATGGTCTTCCATACGCCCGTCAAAGTGAGTATAAAAAGAAAAAAGATGTATATTTTTTCCTTTTTAAGATAGATCCAGAATAAGGAAAAAATTCAACGCATTTTTTTTATTAACAACGAAGAAAGCCTTTAAATTTATTCTGTTATCAGGGCCATATAAATAGATGTGTTTCTAGTGAAATGGAACGCTGTGGAAACAATTTTTCTTGATTGTCCATTTTTTTATGACCAATCATCTGGCCAGAATTCAATTCAATGCGTCACTTAATTTTAAAGATAGCGTGTCCACCTGGATTATTGGTTCTGTGCAAAAGTGAGGCAAATGTTCTGTCTGGACTGCGACTGCAGCGTATCGTCAAGTTGTTCTCCGTATTGACACAAGACACTGTCGAAGGAGAGAAAAAATATTTTGTCTCAATCTTCTTTGTTTTGGTCTTTTTTTTCATGACCAATCATCTGGCTAGAATTCAATTCAATGCGTCACTTAATTTTTGAGCTAGCATGTCAACCTTGACTATCGTTTCTGAGTATAGCCACATATCCTTCTCGTGACATACTCTGACCTAGTGCCAAATGCCAAGCTTGTACCATCAAAGGCACGACTCCATCACCTGTCTCCCGTACTAATTGAGTCCCAATACGATATAATTTCTTCACAGTGATAAGCTCCGACGGCGAATTAATTAGTGAGGATGTACTTTATGACTGGAATATCGTGAAACTTGGTAATGTGGAGATGTGTCAGTCGGTCAAGCAGTGGAATCCAGACGCCCCGTACGAGACGCAGTACTGCGACCTCGCTTATCCCGTCGATGTACGTTTAATGTGTTCCTTTTCAAAACTTGGATTTGAAATGAGTATTGAATAATTAAATTCAAAGCAGTCTAATGCGTTGAAATATATGCACTACGAACCTAAATCGGGACTTTGAAATTGTACTTAAAACGTCAGCGTTTATATGTTGATGCCTTTCTTTTCGAGTGTGAAGCCACAACAATGCGGCAGGGATGTGAATAATAAACCTATATCACAATTTTAACAGAAACGTTCTGCATGCCACAGGTAGGCCTGTATCTAAAAATCAAACAAACATAGGTTAAGAGGTGGTGTTGAAAACCTGGTTTCGCATCCGTATTTAGTTTCATAAAGTTTCAAAATAATTTTGAAGCAAATGTTGATTTCCCGACCTTACCAAATAAAAGTTTCTGGATCAGGCCGTGGTTCAATTTTGAGTAATCTAAAACAACAGGACTATAAGTCTCGTGAAGCCGAACCTGACAAAAAGCTAAGGTTTTGAAACCCATTTTACTGAAGAAAAGGGTAAGAGGCCAAAGATTGTTCAAGAAGTGTGTTTGCAATGAGGTTTGTATCTTTATTCCTCAGCCGGACAATTACGCTGTGATTGGACTATGCTTTCCAGCTAATTGCTCAGTAGATGATCTCCAACATCTCTTTCAACCTGTTCCATGTAAGGATATCTTTTTAAATTTCCCTGTGTACCTGAGTACTTCGTTTGTAGTGTTGATGTCGTGTCAGTATTTAATACTGTGAAAAAAAAGTGTGCGGCTTTGAGATATTCGTAACGCCGAATGTATGCGCTTGATCTCGCTTGAAGTCTATTGTCGTTTTGAAGTTGTATTTTCAATGTTAAATTTTTGTATAAAGTAAAGTTGGGATCAAATTTGCCTGGGGAGGGAGATGCTGTTCACCTTAGTTTACCCCAACGAGTTTTAAGCGAACATCATTTTCTATATTTTAGATGTATTAAAAATGAAATTTTGCGTTCATGCTTTGTAAAAGCTTTTAGAAATCTACCGTGAATCTGTCGGACCACAGCATGAGAATTGCACTTTTACTGTTGGCGTTCAGTGCGGCGCACGGTGCAATTAAAATGCAACAGTAAACACAAAGTAGCGTTTTATGACGTACTTCAAGATTTGTCTTTTCTTTTTTATTGACTCTGTTTAGTTATTGGACCGTACATAGGTGTATCCTGCGTAGGGCCCTACCCATGGGAACCATGGGCAGTTGTCACAGTGTAAGTGTTTTTTTTCCTTAAATATTCAGAGCACGAAGTAAATCCTTAGACCAATTACGAGCAAATAAATAACTGCAAATTAACTTGTATATAAAATTGGTCAATCTTCTTTCCTGTTTAGATGTATTTTGTGCGTTTTCCTGTTGCTGGTAACTATGGGAACGGTTTATCACGTCATGATTCGTCAAAGAATCCAGGCCAATTTGGCCAAAGTAGCGGTTAGTGTGGAGAAGAGGGTCGATGGACAATCGGACGAGAATTCTCTTCAAAAGGTACGACATATAATGTTTTTACGAAATCATTTGAAGTGGCGTCAGTTATGGCGTATAGCGACTATACAAATTAATGAACCGATGAACATGTAGTTCGTGGTCGTCGTGCCGCAAATGCTTTGCTTATCAGGGTTGATACAAGACACTCATAAACAGAAAATGCCGTTTAACCCAACGGAATTGTTAAGAGTTGCCGCGTGATTCTGTAGAAAATGGTGAAGAAAACAAATATCTCAAAGTGGCATGCATGAGGGGAACGTCCTCAAGGAAAACATCGCATTGCTGGAAAATGTAATCATCCATGGATTGACCCTTCACTAGCGATTTCACACGCTATTTTTCCCCCTTACCCAAACCCAATTATATGGTATTGGTTCGTGCAAAGCATTACAGCATTAAACGGTGGCAAATTCCGCTTCATCTACTTGTAATTCCAGGCTGACATTGAACTGCAGTTTGGCAGCCATGGAACGGCAAGTGTTTTTGTGAAGAAAGACCTGGAAGCTAATGGCCATACATCCCACCACAACAATGGGTTCGTGGACGTTGAGGGCGATGTTGCAGACTCAAAGGAGATCAACTCTTGCTCCAAGGAGGTTCGATCACGGGATGAGAAAGCTGCGAAGCAAAATGTGAAGGCCTTTGGTAGGAGACAGAAATAAACTCCCAAACTTAGAATCTGCCTTTTATTTATTAGTTTTTTTCCTAAATCTGAATCTCACAACCCATGATTGAAAGGTGAATTCGGCCTCCTGTGGGAAAACATTTACCGCTAGCCTTCATAACCAGCCGTATTATATTTCTGAACAGGTCTTCTAGACAATATCATGATGGGCTTTTCTTCCATCCACAACGGCTCGAAGATTTTGAACACAGAACCGACGGCTGGAAATCTTGGCGCTCTGAATGGCATCCGTGTGCTCAGCATGTGGTGGGTTATCCTCGGGCACACTTTTTCTTTCATGATCGGTTATTATGGTGAGTCCGCTAATATTACTTAACAAAGTCACGAGGCCTGGTACTTGATTTAAAAAAGAGAAAAGTTCATAACTCTAAGGGAAATTCCCTACTCTCTAAACAATAGTGTTTAGCGATCAAAACACCATCTTGCTATTACTTTGTAAACACGTTTATAAGAAGCTAAACAGTACGCCCGATTCCTAAACATCCATGTTCATTGATAAACACTATGCATCCCTGATGCTTTACAGCATTTTCTGGGCTCATCAAGATGTCTGTGCTAAGCTATGGATGAACTGGTAAAAATTACTCGGTCTTAATCAACTGCGTCAAACATCTTATTTCAGTGGCATTTTCAGCAGGAGGGGGGAACTTGGCACTGTCTTATTTCAAGGATTTGTCATCATTCCTCAGGCGCAGATCCGGGGGGGGGGGGGGTTCAACCCCCAAGCTCTGTCAAAAATACTTGTTTCCCCATAGAACATAATGAAAAAATATGCGAAACCCCACCCCTGCTCTGACACCCAATATGTTTTTTGTTAGTAATGATGTCCGCCTTTGTTAAAATATGTACAGAGCCAGGTTGGTTAGGGGGTATATGTACATTATTCCGCGATATAGTGTTAACAGCGTCCCCATTAAAAGAATGGTTCCCTCCCCCCCCCCCCTTTCAATTTTACAGAGGCCAAGTGTCCGGAGAAAAAAACATGTCTACATTTCAGATTTGTTTGCCGATGAAACCCCGCCCCCGCAAAAATTTCTGGATCCGCCCCTGTTCCTTGAAATCATTTTTTAACCTGCTGTCGTGTGTCGTGTGTCATGTCTTTCTGCCACGCAGATGATCTCCGTTACATGTTTACTACGCTGACCAAGTCGTTCTTATTCTCGGCCGTCGTCAACGCCGGCGTTTCCGTCGACACCTTTTTCTTCCTAAGGTGTAGTATAAGAAAAAAATTGCCTTTTTTTGTTTACAAACCTTTCAAAGGAATCAACAAAACGTTATTAGCCAAAGTAAGCATTTTACGGAAAGTTCGTTAGGGACAAAACGGCAGATTAACGGGGTGGGGGGGGGGCACACCCCAACGCTTTCTTATCAGAGGAACGACACCTTTTTTTTCTTAAATTTCAGGAAGACAATCAAAACGTTGCGTTTCTCCCTCGCAATCTATCAGCTGCAAGTACCTTTCAATTTGAAAAAAAAACCATTGAGCAAAAAGCGCACGATACTATACTTTAATCCTTCCCCATTTTGAATAGGGGAAGGGAATCGGGCGGGGGATTAACATTGAAAACTAGCAAACTGGCATCCAGCTTTACTGAGTCGAGGGTTATTGCCGATCCTTTCGAAGAGTACATTTATTATCGTTTCTTCATCTGATACTAGCGGTCTCCTTCTGACGTACCTGACGTTGAAGCATCTCCAGAAAGCCAACGGTAGACTGAACTGGTTTCTCTTCTATCTCCATCGCTTCATCCGTATCACTCCGGCCTACATGGTTTCTATAGCTATATGGGCCAGCCTAGCGATTCATTTCGGCCAGGGACCGGGCAAGCACTTTTTGTTCGAAGGGGCTGCCAACGCCTGCCGCAAATACTGGTGGACCAATTTGTTGTATATCAACAACCTGTATCCCTTCCCAGGCGATTTGGATCTCCAGGTATGTAGCGAAAGCTTGAATGCTGCAACCAAATATAAGCAGTAACCTATGCCGAGCTTCAGTTGAAGTGGGATGAGAGATTAAACAAAAATTAAACCCCAAACATTGCTAATATTATAGGTAAACAGTTTCTGTAAATTTTACTGAAAAAAGATTCTAAGTATACCCGGTAGAAGTACGTGATTATCTACGGCTATTTATTTTGTTTTTGTCTTATATGTGCAGTGCATGGGATGGTCGTGGTATCTTGCTAACGACATGCAATTTTTCGTCATCAGCCCCGTCATCATCTACCTGCTGTACAAGTGAGTAGTTATCTCTGTACGGTAGAAGTAAACTAGAATGGCAGCAAACTGTCCCGTGTAGCACAGCCCATATTGCGATCCGCGTAACGCACTATACCAGGATTATTATTGTAAAGAGTCACTTTACAAATTTGATAACAAAATACAATGACATAATTACACATAATTCCATTAAACGTGACAAAAGTTACAGGAAAAAAGGATTGGTTAAAAGGAAGTACAAATACATGCCGGCAAAACTCGCTGGATATAGCAAAGAAACGACAGCATTACAAATAAAACAAAATAATTACAAATTGTAATACAATAAATAACACCATGCATTGGTATTAATGATATTGGACAAATTACTAGAGGCGAATAGGAAACAGTCAAAATTATAGAAGGATTTTGACCAGTGTTGTTCATTTCCTTAACCTCTATGCGTTGCATGCTCACTTTGAAACAAGACATGTTATGTAAGACTAATTCGTATCTGAATGCACATGCACCAAAGTAGAATTATGGCGTTTACATTCTCTTTAACTTATAGATTTCTGCAGGCCTCTATACTTTTAATTGTAATCTGACTGATCTTATACTTGAGTGAATATTATCTGTACAGTTAATCTATACCTGTGTTTTTTTTCTTTTGTTAAGAAACGCCAAGTGGGGAATGGGCTTGATAATGACACTATGCCTTGCGTCATTTGGCGTCACTGCGTACATCGCTGCTTATTACGGGGCAGGAGTTGGTCTCTTCCCGTAAGTTGCTCTATGTAATTAAACAATCATCTCCCCAAAAAAGGCAATGTTTATTAATGGCCCTACCCTTTAACGCCTTGTAGCTAAATTGTGCATTTACTCAGGTTTTTGTCCTCTTAATTTGGCTGTATTTAATCATGATAATTTCTTTATAATGAAATGACAGGAAACATATTCAGTGGTAAATGCAAACATCTTCCACAGTGCTTACTTTATTTCCAACAACGTTTCAAATAGTAAGCCCTGGATAAAAAAACTTTCTTCCTGTATTCTGATTCGATACCGCAATTGGCCATAAACGGATTTGTATCGTGTACTTGGTGTTGTTATTCACAACGTGCAGTATGTGTTTTCGCGATCATTCGTCCATGCCTTCTCGAACATTTTAATAGGCCTAAGACGTAATTACGTCACGCTTTGTTTACATGTGCGCTTTCCTATGTGGTAGACGGTCCCCACTTTATCTGGCGTCCCGACTTCACTCCCATAGAAAAGCGCATATGTAAACAAAGCCATTACGTCATTACGTCTCAGGTCTATTTTCTTTCCAATTTGTTCATATTAATATGAAATGTGATACTGCATGTTGTCTCGATAAGATCGGAGCAGTTTGATTAAAATAAAATCGTGTTTTATGACTCAAGCCATACTCGCGCTACGATGAATTGATTCTGTTTTTACCCCAGACACCGCATACAAAAACAAACGCAAATGTAAAGCACAGGCAGGCACCAGACTATTCCTCATTTGCATACGTGTTCAAAAATCTTGCACATTCAAATCATCCAATATCAGGTTGAGAAGAGCAGCTGGTGGTGGGCGCGTACTGCTCGACACCCTGGGGATGAGGTTGTGGTAAATGCAGGGTACTTCCAAAAATGAGATCACAATACCTGATTGGTTTTCCAATTTTAGTGCTTACAACAACAACACTGTTGTTGTGTACGGTAGCGCTTCAGTGGACATCATATACGGCAAGCCATATTGCCGGATACCAGCCTATTTGGTCGGCATCGTGTTTGGATACATCTTCTACAAGGTGCAAGGGAAACCGTTTAAAATGAGCAAGGTACGGTTCTTATTACAAAACCTTCCAGCCAAACCTAAGTGACTCGACCCACCCAACTCAACTTATTAACCTACCCCATTAAATCAACCTAACTCAACTCAACTCAACTCAACCCAACCCAACCCAACCCAACCCAACCCAACCCAACCCAACCCAACCCAACCCAACCCAACCCAACCCAACCCAACCCAACCACAACCCAACCCAACCCAACCCAGCTCAACCCAACCCAACCCAACCCAACCCAACCCAACCCAACCCAACCCAACCCAACCCAACCCAACCCAACCCAACCCAACCCAACCCAACCCAACCCAACCCAACCCAACCCAACCCAACCCAACCCAACCCAACCCAACCCAACCCAACCCAACCCAATCCAATCCAACCCAACCCAACCCAACCCAACCCAACCCAACCCAACCCAACCCAACCCAACCCAACCCAACCCAACCCAACTCAACTCAACTCAACTCAACTCAACCCAACCCAACCCAACCCAACCCAACCCAACCCAACCCAACCCAACCCAACCCAATCTAACTCAACTCAACCCAACCCAACCCAACCCAACCCAACCCAACCCAACCCAACCCAACCCAACCCACCCAACCCAACCCAACCCAACCCATCTCAACCCAACCCATCCCATCCCATCCCAACCCAACCCAACCACGAAGAAAAATACAGTTCTACAGATTACCATAGCGGGATTTAACGAAAAGTGACTTTTTTCGATTTCTGTTTATTTTTTTTTACCAAGCCCTTTTTAATCGCTATTTGCAGTAGAAAGTAAATAGCGCCACCTATTGTCTGATATTTAACATGGTGTTTATTCCCCCCACCCCCCCCCTTCCCCCACCACCACTTGATGTTTTTTTACGGAAACCGCGGGCGTCCAGGGAAAAAACACAGTACACCTTTCATCACCAGAAATAAAATTACGCGACCTCACTGTAAAATACAGCTCCTACTAACACGCCCATGCCGCCCGGGTTATACCTTGGCAACGCCCTTGTACCCTATACCCCACCCAACTCAACCCGTCCCGACTCGACTCTAATTTAACCTACTCAACCCAACTAAGTCAAACCAAATCCAACCTAACCTGTGCTAATCACATACTGCTTGTTTCCCTGCAGGGTCTCAACCTTGTCATGTGGTTTTTGTCTACGGCTGTTGCCATGTCAGTCGTGTACGGAATTTACAGAAATGAATTGGTAGGGACATTTCCGCTGTATGCTGCAGTGCTGTATAATGTGTTTGCGCGACCCGCGTTTGTAATGGCCGTCGGATGGGTGGCGTTCTCCTGTCTAGTGGGTTATGGAGGTAAGCCAAATAGATTGACTCTTTAAAAGTCCAGGCTCGGATTCGATCCGGATCCGAGTTTCTGTTTCTGTCCGTTTTGTAACTTTTGAAAAGAACTCACAGTACTCCTTTGGAACGATAGTTTTGCTGACGGACATTTATTTGTGCCCCTGCTAGGTCCCGTCAATGCTATCCTCAGCTGGGGCTTCTGGACACCGTTGAGTCGCATCACCTTCGGTGCTTATCTTCTACATCCCATCATTATGTACACCATCTACACGAGTGCCAAGGCTGTGTATCACTTCACCTACATGCAATGGGTAAGCGTCTCCCGATTCCCGAATGAGCGTCTTATACCTGCTCATTATTCAATGAAATTTTGAAATGAACGTGCAATCAGGAGCTGAAAAGTCTTTTCTCCCTGATTTTTAGTTGCGCTTTAATAATAATAATAATAATAATAATAATAATAATCGGCATTTAAGAACGCCCTTTTTAGTAAACTAAATCACAGCGCTTACAGTATTATTATTACCCCTGATCATTGGGCCAATTAAACATTCCAAATACCATCTCAGCTCCCTGGGGAGTATACAGCTCGATGCTGCCTGTTAGGCGCAAGCAAGCTAAACCAATCACTTAACCATCTCTGCCCTCACAGGTACCCATTTACTCCTGGGTGGAGAGAAGCAATGAGTGACAAAGTGACTTGCCCAAGGGCACACGCACCATGACCCCGCCAGGACTCAACCCACAACCTTTGTTTAATTACATACTTATGACGTCATGTTACAACCCGCATATAAACATTTCTGGGGTTTTTTTTTCAAACAACCGCAACTGAAGAGTGCATTGCATCAGATTTTCATTGGAACTTAATTTTTTTCTCTAACCGAGGCCTTTGTTTTTGTTTTTTGAAAGGTAATCATGTTCCTCGCCAATGTGGTGCTTGCCTACGCGGCGGCCTTCGTACTGTCCATCGGCGTGGAAGGCCCGGTCATGGGGCTAGAGAAAGCTCTACTCGGCGGAGGGGCGAGAGGCAAGAAGAATTAACACACGGAGCGCGGACAGCACATCGTTTAGAAATAGTAAATTGCACGTTGATTAAAATCATTCTGAATGGAGTAGATAGGGCACACGTATAGTACTTACGGAAAACCTTTAATGTTTTCTCGAATCAGATCAGTAAGAAAGCAAGAAAATTGATAAAAAAAACCCAAATTACTCTTACGGTTAATGAAGTGCATATTTTAAGCAACGTATTTTGTGCTACTTTCCAATCTTCTTAAGTGTAGGTCAACTAATGGTATCCTTTTTTGTTAATTTTACTCGGAAATGCACTTCTGTAAACATTTAAAAATTGTCCATACTTTTCCAGACAACTGAGGGCGCTGTTGCCGTGATTGCAACATTGAGGTTTCTGCCTGGTATGACATCACACTTTTTCTCCTAAATATGGAATTTTGCATTTTAGCATAAAAACTAGAGGCACCAAAGACCCTTGAAAACAAAGGTGCATCATCAAGAATTACTTAAAAACATAACACTTAATGGGCGGGGGGGGGGGGGGCAAATGTCTCTGCCCACCCTCGAAAACATGATGAATCGGGAAAATGCTGGCAATTGTAGGGAATTTGGGGATAAACGTGAATTGCCCCCTCTAGAAAAAAAAAACCTGGCGACGCCCATGGTGACACATCCCTATACAAGTACATGTACATCCCTAGCATCAAGCCAATCGTATTTGTACAGTTCTTTCAATGCAGGGCCTTACAATGCCCACGTCACATGACTCATGATGACGTCATGACGACGTCACTGTTATAGACACGACTTTTCTACGGCATCTTTGTCCAGTAAAAGATAGGTGTATGTGTTTTTATACGCAATAAACTGTTGTGCAACCGAATTCTGATTGAAGTGGCCACTAATGCTAGGTTAACACATTTCCGATTTTTAAGCCGTAGCGCTGCGAATAGCAATTCTTGAGTAAATTGGGGCTGCCTCGGTCAGCTGCCTCGGGATGATTCTGTTTGTTTGGTGAAAGATCGTTTAAGACCGGGAAGCGCTCCGACAATTTTGGACATTTTTAAAATGCCGGATGATTGGGGAACAATTTTTAATTTGGGGAACAATTTTTAATTTTTGGTTGATTCTTGTATTCGGAACTTATTCTGGATATTCGTATAGTATTTTTGATATTCGTTCATTATTCGTACAAATTTCGTATACAGATGTAGTTAGTTTTAGTGTTAACAGTTCATTATCATGCCGGATCATTACGAATGTATCAATAAATGTACGAATGATATGAATAAAGTTAAGAATAAGCTTAAAGTGTGTGAGGACACAACGGAATTTTTGCTGCCATCAATTTCTTCCAAACAAGGGTCACCATAAGCCCCCCCCCCCAAAAAAAATAGTCGGTCTCTCTGGTCAGACCCAAGTTCGGAATTGATGCGGCGACACGTTTTTTTTTTTTTTAAGCATGGATTGTACAGACAAGGTGGGTACCATTTTTTGCTTTTTTTGTCCTCATATACATTGGTGTCCTCCATAATTTGCCTTGGTACCCTCCATCATTTACCTTGGTGCGGTTTCCCCACTCCTTGGTACAAAAATTTAAAAAGTTTTGGCACTAGAGGGCGCTGTTGTAGCTACCGCGGACAATTTGAAGAAGAAAAAAAGGGTTGACGCGCATGATTAAAATCGACGCGTGCACTGACCAGAGACCGACTATTTATTTTTTTGGCCTAAAGTTTAATCTATCAACGCGGATCATGCACAATTAGGGTAATGACCATCAAGCTTGAAATAGATGAAAAAACTATTTAAAAAAAATACCCTTTCATAATCAGACGTTTTTTCACAGGTTTTCTTTATGTCGTCACCGCGTTATTGACAAACGAAAGACAGTTGGAAATTGCGCAAAGACAAATCTTACTGTGTGTGCAACACGTTCTTTCTTTAGCAAGGAAGTCGCAGTCAACACGACGAGGATGGCACGGCAATAGCTGTGAACTGAAGGCATTCGCGTTGATGTTGATGTTGCTGTTGTCATGTGGGTGACTGATTCAAAATCATGGAGCGTATTTCTATCAAATACGGATCCTGACACAAAGATCCAACTCGAGCATCTTAATCAAAATTCCAACCATTCACTGATCAAGGCTATTTCTGACCTTATACTTTTTGAAGCCTTAAAAGGGTTTATTTTCTCAACTGTCATGACAATAAATACTAAAGTATGTTACCACCATGAAGTTTAATCTGTCAATGCGGATCCTGACATGCCAAATATTGAGATCATAACAATTGAGCTCGAAATAGAAGAAAAACCTTCCCAATCATAATCAAAACGGAACTTACGGTCTCTGTATACAACGGGTTTTCCCTTCATCAAAGGAAGTCGTAGTCAACACGACGATGCTGGCACTGCAATAGATGTGAAGTGAGGGCACCCGGCGCTGTCGTTGCTGTTGTCAAGCGGTTGACTGATTTGAAGAAAAAAAACGGAGCGTATTTCTATGGATCGTAAACACAAAGAACTCACTAGAGCATCACAATCCAAATTCCAACCATTCACTGACCATGGCTATAACTCACTGGACTTTTGAAGTCTGGAAAGATTTATTTTCTCGACTGTAGCACCCTTAAAGCGTTGAGAAATTTGTTTTTACTTGGTTACAGTGGCACAAATAATATGCACGCGTAATTAATTCGGTGTTTTTCCATTAATTTTTTGGCGGGCGGGGGAGGGAGCTGCTTTAACTTTATAAAAACCTCCCAACGGGTAATATTTTGTTTGAAATACACTACCTTGTTAGGATTTCATTGCGAGAAGTCACTCTTCCCAAGCCCAAACTTCCCTGATATTATTTTAGTTTTCTCAAATAAAACTGTGAATGTAACAATACTCAAGCAAAACGAAAGTCCCCCTTCCTATACTTATTTTGTTTAACTCAAAATCTACTGTGCACATCTCGCTGAAATAAGTGCTAATCAGTACAGAAATTCGTTAGCGATCCAGCCACACTCTTTATTTTGCCCACACTAGTGGTAATCTGTACGAAGGTATGCAATTTATGACAAATGATACCGAAAACCGTTTCACTTTTGCATACGTGCAAGTTGTTTTGCACACTAAAGGGTTACGCAAATGCTCATTATTGTGCTTAGAAATGGAAAGTACAAGTTTTGCGAAAGGAAAATGTTAGTCAGTTGATGAAGACAATTCTGATTTGATTGTTCAAAGTTGAGACTTCCAAAAAGTCGTAAGAAGACAAGGTAGTGTATATTCCCCAAATCATGTTCAAGCAATGGTGCATGCTAGTGTGAAAAAGATGGATGTTGCGCAGTTTTCTCCCTAAGAAAGGTAAGAATTGTCAGGGACCAGTTGATGGAA